GCATTTCAATAAAATATGCCTTCTACAATTACTGAGGTCCAACACTTTTTAAAAGGGGATCAAGTAAATAAGTCTGTTCTAAATATTATTCAAAACTATTTTGTCTGTTAACAAGCCCCAAAAAAATATAAAGTAAAGAAATTTAAAATTTCAAAATAACGAAAACTTTATTTAAAATTAAAGTATAAAAGGATCTGAGTATAAGATTTATATAATAATACATTTACTTGAAGAATTTACAGTTTATAAAGAAGTCAATTTACGAATGACAAGCAGTATTCTAAATAAATAATCAAGTGAGGCATGTTTATTTTAAAAAAATAAAAAAAAAGAATCGACTTGATTATGTAAAAAGTCTACTTAACGCTAATAAAACAACTGTAACTCAAAAAGATTAACAAACTTATAGATCAATAAAGAATAAATTCTAACGTTCTAGAATTTCTAAAGCAACCTAAAAATAAATTTTCTTATAATTATCATAAAGAATAGTTCATCTCATGGCCAGTTGACGAAGTTGCTTGCGGTTCAATTTTTTAATTTTACTTGGATTTTTAATCTATTCGAGATAAAAAAAAAGGTTAAAAAGATATGAAAGCGTGTTAATAACTCTTACCAACTGTACTACTTCGCTTTTTCTTTCATTATCTTCCTTTCTTTTCTTATTTGAACGTTTTCTTTCTCTTTCCATCTCAACTTTTTTCTAATTATGAAATTAAATTCTATTTAACTCAATAAAAGTAAAATTTTCGCACCTTTTTTTCTTCAGAAAGCTCTTTTAAAAATAACTTCCTCATAAGCTTTTCTTTTCTTTCTTGTTCTAACCTCTTAAAACCTTTCTTCCATGCTTTAACTTGAAATTTGGCCCTGGCCCTATACAGAAATAGTAAGAAAAATATTAGTTTACAAAAAATTTTAAGTACTATCATTATATTAATAAAAAACCTAAAGGGTAATAAAATGAAAAATATTAATAATTACGGTTGTTTAGAAACCGACTTCCACTCTCTTCTGGATTTAGGAATCCCCCTAACCTTGCTTATGCGGGCAGCCATAGTTACAAACTTGAAGAGGTAAAGCTTCACGTTGTGGCAGGAACACCGTAAAGAGACGAGGAAACAGTCATATGGCTAAAAGTTTCTATTAAATATAAATAGGCTCCTTTCTTACCAAAACAGTGTTTTTTTAAATTTTTTCAATTATTTACTGAGAAACCTTTACAAAATAGTAATAATCAAAAAAACAAAAGAAGACTATTTTTAATTTATACAAACGTAAGGTTAACTAATAAACATAATAGTATTAGCTTTATTCTATTAAGAATCTATAGCAATTACGGCCCGCTTTTTTTATTAATATCCTGTAAGACAATTTACAATTATTATATGTTGAGCGCTATTTAATATACATGTCGTTGTTATACTAAGTTAAGATTTTTTTAAAGTTAATAAATTGTAAAATTTATCATAAGCTAGCTTCTATGTAATATAGTTTCATTGCCCTAAAGATAAACACGAGCAGTTTACCTTTCCTATAATTTATAACCGCTTTAAAAGGGGATATTAAGGCATTATTAGTAATGAAGTGCCATATTTAGCTTTATTGAAAGATGTTACGGACTGACTGTTTAAGTTATTAAAAGGTTAATTTAAATTTTTAATTTTTATTATTTTTTTGGTATTTAATCTAATAGTTAATTAAGGTACTTAAGCGATTGATGATTATAGTTATAGATGGGTTAATCAACAAAAACTTGGAATAGTTCTAAATTTTTTTCACTAAAGTTTAGATATTATGCAAGTTTTTTTTTTTGCTGTACAAGCAATAAACAAGCTTTATGATCTGGCGTCCTGCCGCTAATATCATTAAGCAGTCACAAAATTAACATTTAAACTTTTAAAAAATTCTTTCTATTTATAATAAACTTTTTCCTTTCCTTCGTACTCTGTGCAATACTAATCGACCTTATTTATCGAAAAAATAAGGCATAAACTGCCCAGCTCCAACCCTTATACAGGTGAGTTGCACTTCTGTGAAATTACCCTCGGTATACATGTATCATAAAAAAACATTATTTTCCATAAAAAGGATCAGACAAAGAACGGAAGATATACAAAACGCAAGTAAAGAAAACAAACTCCTTAATTAAAGACAGCGCAGTACACTCTAGAAACCCCCTGGAACCCTCTTTAGTGACTGAAAAGGCTTCACATTATTACATGCAGAATTTACCTTTCCCTATTTACTTGTTTTAATTATACACATTGCCTTCACTTGGCAGATAAATTTTAGAAAAAAAAAATAAAAGCGAATATAAGGAGAAAGAAATAGCTTTCAAAAGTTAACTTTCTGTTATAAACCTCTTTTGTTTGTTATTGTAACAAGATGCAATAGTACTTTAGCCCTCATTTATCTCTCAACTAACTATAAGTTTTGTTAATGCCATAACTTTGTGTTTGCAAAAGAAATGGGTGTATTATCGCTCAGAGAAACTATTACTTCTTAAATTTAATACCATGTGAGTAGCAAATAATACTAATGAACCTTTCCTTACAAGTTCTAATACTTTCAAATGTTTAATTTTTCACCACACCAGAAATCGGCCACTCACTTTGAAAGGGCAGAGGGATACTCCTACTTAAAAATTAAACCCGTCTTTGTATAAAAGCTTCACAACTAACAATTTTTTTTAAAAACATCATCAAATAAACAGTTAGTGGAAGAGTAAATTGTAAACCTTTTTCAAACTAGTCATTAATAAAAGTCTGGTAAAAAAACGAAGTTGAACTCTAAATTTGCCCGTAATAAGCGCAGACATATAGGCCAGTTAAATGGACAAGATTTTAACCTTAAACCAAAAGACTTTTAAATAGTGCTTGCTTACTTTTTTTGTTTTTATTTAATAACCTTGGCAAGTTTAACTTTCTATATACTTTGTTTGCAGGTTATTAAATTCAAGTGAAAAAATAGTAGCGATGAATGTTATTAACAATATAGTAGAAGGTTATGCAGAAACTAAGAAAGATTTAAAATCGGTCTTTAAAGGGAGCAAATCAGCTTTTAAAGAGAAAAAAATAGAATATGAAGCTAAACGAGAAGAAGTGATAAGTTTTGTATATGGTTATATATGTAAACTCTTATCAATATTTTCAGACATTATATTATGGATATTCCGGATTGGAATTCCATATTAATAACAAAATTGTTATGATCTCCAGAGAAACTGGATTTATGTCCAGGTGTGCATAATATTTTGAACTTTATTAGTTTTATATTATTTATCAACACTTTTCGTACTATTGAATTCGCAGAACTCCCCTTTTTTACTTGAAGTTAAGTGACACTTCTCCGGATAAGGAGACTCAATTGTTTGCTTTTGTAAAAGCTACTAGAGAAGATACCACGGATTATAGGGTGAGGTTTCTCTCTTTTTTTAATGTTTTCCGCTTTGTTATTAAAAATTTTGTTAAAGATACGGAGATGTCTTAATATTATGGTCTTCAGTTGGGGCCGGACGTTACGCTCGTCCTACAAAACTGAGAAGCTTTCTAGTGATGCAAGACTTAAGAAAAGACGTAGAAGAACATTTGAATATTAATTTTTTAGTGACGTCCTTATTTTTTACGTTTTTTTAATGCGAGATTAATTTCGACAAAAACTTGCGAGGGATTAATTTGTATAAAATAGTACATCCCACTGCACCACTAAATAAAGGTTAATTTACTAAAAAGTTTGGTAGAATTTCTATTTTAAGAAATCATTGTTTGAATCACTTTCTATATAGACTTTTTCAAGTATTCTTATATTCTTGCTAACTTAAGAAAAAGATAATTCATTAAAAAAATTATACTTTACTATTATAAAGTTACTTATAATAATATTTTAGATGTAATAAAGTATGGAGATCTTTTTAACCTTCGCAGCGTCAACTTTCTAAACTTATACGTTGGGATTCATGATGACTACTTGAAACTTGTAGATTGTAAAACTTCTGTTAAGAAACCAGGTTATTTACTAAGAAATATTGATTTTATTTGCTTTTGAAATTTTCAATTTTTTAATTTCTTGTGAATTTAACACTTTCTTCTATGTCGATCTTCAAAGTAAAATTTTATTATAAATTTTATAGTTTTAATTTATATCGCTTTTAGTTAAAATTTTTAATTTTCCTAATTTACTTTGTTGTGAACTCTTTTCTTTAGTGCTAACCTTCAAGATAAAATTTTATTTTTAGAATAGTTTATAAACACTTGTTTACATTAAATTTTGACATCTTTGTGAAATCAAAACTTTTTTTTATAATGACCTTCAAGGCAAACTTACATTGTAAGCAATAAATAATTTACACAAACTATACTAAGATATAATAATAAAAATTTAACCTTAAAAATTAGTCATTTAAAAGGCTTCATTGTCATTGCTTACATATATAGCAAAATTTACTGAAAGACACACCGAATTTTAAAGTTTAATTGGACTGCATTTATTATAAATCATTTTTATTTTAAATAATATTTACTAAATTTATTAATAAATCTACTTTATTATGCCAAACTTTTAAATCCCTTTTCTAGTATTTCAAGTGTTTCGAAGTAATATCAAGCTTAACAGATCTCCGTTGGTCAAACCGTATGCTTACAATAATAATTTATTTCCCTCAATTAAATTATATCTTATAAACTTTCGAATAGTTTCATAACAAGCTCTCAAGAAGCTACTGAATCTTATGAAGAACCCGAGTATATCAGCAACATGCGCACCTTTTTTTCTTTTGGAATTTTCTAATTTAAATTTATTTACTCCATTATTACTTTAAATAAATTTAATAAAAGATTAAAGAATTAACAACGATTTATAGAAGCTTTACTTCTTTAAATTAAGAATTGTTTTACAAGCAGAGTTTGTTGTGTGAATTAGAAAAATAAAAATTAACTATCTACACATTTACCAACTTTTATTATTATTATATTAGTGCAGTATTTCAGAGGGAATCGCATATAAAACTATCATAATAAAATCCCGTCAAGTAAAAAGGTCGACAGATCTATGCAAACTCTTTGCTTTCAGAAAAGAACTTTCATCGTTGAAAGAGACGAATAAAAAATATAACGCTAAAAAAATACTGTTCTAAAAAATATAATAAAAATTGAAAAAGTAATTTTTACTTTTAAACTATTAAAAAAATTAATTGTTAGTCATAAAGTTAAAAGCAAAAGTAAAAACAAAAAAAAAATTTTAAATCAATGCAAACCACCTATATTTATAACAGTTCAGTTTCAAACAGAAAAAATTACCAGTATTTAAAGTATTATATAATAATATCCAATATTCTAATATTTTTTCATGTACTATTATTAGCTTTACCAACACTTTTATCTAATTCTTCAGCCTTAGTTTTCCACATCTTTAAGGATTCAAAACCTTTGCTGGTTTTACCATAAGAATGTGGCCCTGCCGAAGTGGGCGTTTCCTTTCCAACGTTCCTCATTCTTACAAAAAATTTAAAAAAACAACACTTAGTTAAATAAGAACACACACAAACATATATATAAACTATTAAAACCTCCATTTAGCGATGGATGGCAATTCATCTTCACTAGAGGACTCTTCCTGGAATACAGAATTTAAGCCAACAGATGCTCCAGAATTTTCTTATTTATCTTCAAGTTTAGTCTTTATTATTTTAATAACAGTTTTCTTGATTCTATACCATTTGATGAAGTTTTATCGACGTCATTCTTCGAAATAGGCAAAGTTTTAAGTTTAATGGTAATAGGCATTGTCTTGACAGCTAACTCAGATGGTTGATTAGCTTCACTGCATAAAACTTCAGACTCAAGGAGAGTCAAATTATTCTGTGCATCAACTTCAGACTATAGAAGAAAAGTTATATTTTATATATTCTACTGAGATAAATAAAACTTTATAGAGCTTACTAAAGAAGTAGTTAGACGAGCCTTTTTGTCTAAAGCCCCCTCGCTGGGAAGATTTCGTTTAGAATACATAACCGTTTTCTGACGCAAAAAACGTAAATATATTATGATTGAAAATCAGTAATAATACTTCTCTTTCTTGTATATGGGGATTAAAAACTAGCTATAATTAAGCAAGAACATAAACACGAAGTAATAGCGGTCTCAATGGGTGCACGAATACGGAATCTCCACTCGGCTGTGTATACTCAAAGGGGAGTTATGAAATCAGTATCGCTGTCCAAATAAAGGAGTTATTACTCGCTCTTTACATTGTTTTTTATATAGTATAGATCGTTCTGTTTAGTTTTTTCTATTTTTTTTGTGCATTACTCCATTAAAATATTTAAGAAACATGTTACTGTCACAATAAAATTCTGTTGACTACTGTTAAAAATTCTAATTCTAATAAGCAGCAGTCTCAAGGTGCTTATACTTGGTGCCCGCTGTGTATAATACGTCAAGTTTTTTTTACAAAGAATCTTCTAATTATCCTATATTATTTTATAAAACCTTAAAAAGTCGTAATTAGGAATACACGAAATATCTTATAACAGTTAATCACCGCGTTTATGCCAGGTTTTTTTTTTAAGGATAGCTTTTGCCTACACGCTTGTAACAATTAAAGTTTAGCCTACTAAAATGTTATAGGAAACAATAAAACAAGGTCATTGTGAAAACTTTTTAAAATTCTATTTTTTCAGTAGCAGCTAGCATGCTAGCTCCGGTATTTATAAATATAACCTCTACTTAAATTACCATAGCACGAGTTTTTAATAGTTATTGTTTGGTCTAATCTTAATTCCAGTAAAACCTGATATTAAATCGGAGAGCTTACCTTTCAAAGACTTTAATGAGGTGTCCTTTTACCAGAGACTTTGTTTACTTACTATAAAAACAATTTTAAGTTCTCAAATAACTTAGTAAGTTATAAAAGTTTGTTGAACACAACAAAGGTATAGTATGCTCACGATTCAGCACTAATATATAAAGATACGAATAATATTTTTCACCCGACAGTCAACAAAAAACTTCTCCCGGGTTATTACCTATAAAAATTAACTTGTACACAAAATTTCTAAGTCAATGAATTAGTAATCCCTTTATCATACTAAATTGTATTAAGCATAAAACTGATAAGCTAAACCAAAAAAAAAAAGGAATCAAAGTAAATTATAAAAAATTAATTAGCTTATCTTAAATTATTACTTGATTTACATATTTCGGCTGGTGTATGTTAACTATTTACATAATAAAGGACACCATAAACGCTCCTTTAGCTACTCATTTTTATTTTTTTTAGTTTTCTCGAAACACTCTCGGAGAGCCCGAACTTCATCTTGACAGCTCCGCCAATCTTTATGTCTGTCCATACATTTTTGAAGAAGTTCATTTAGTGCTTGACATTCTTTGTATATAGAAAATTAGAAGTTTCGTTAAACTAAAAACATCTTTAAAATTACCAATTTCCGGTGTATATAATACAGAAGATTTACATTCTTCGAACAATTCCATAATAATATTGAAAAAAGACTGCTTTAAGCATTTCCTTTCCGAACTTGCGAGACCCAAGGAGGAAAAAAAGGAAGTTTACTCTTTTTAGAGGGTTGACCACAGAATAAACCATTTTTTACATTTTTCTCTTTAGTACCAGCGAACTCATTCTTTTAAATTGCGTGTTGAATTACTTTGTTTTACGAAATCTTAAGCAAGTGTAAAAAAAAAATAGGTTTACATATTTTGCCACTCATAACACCTGCAAAGATGAACCATCATCTCTTCTACCGCTATAATTTTATTTTTCTTATCAATATTTGTACTAATCTTTAAGGATTTGTCACTTTAACTTGAGTGTAGGAACTTATTCGTGGTTAAGTTTTTTTTTGAATAAAGTTGTGCTAAGCATTTGACAATACTGCCTTTTTAACGAGGTGAATGCTGTACTTGATAACTTTTTCTACAAGACAGTCAATTTCCTCCTAATGAAGAGACATAAGATGGATAATAATAAAATCTCTTGTCAGTCTCTAATTTAACTTTGGAGCCCGATAAGGATATAAACTCAATTATAGTCACACTTATAATGAATACTAACTGGAATGGCCGGTAACCCGCACTTTATCAAAACTAAAACTTTTTACATGTGGCGCTCTGTAAATACTATTATTTACTGCTAAAAGGGACAACGCTACAATGCTTATTACTGTTACTCACTTTATTTTAAACTTTCTAGTGGCGGGCTAGAAGGCAGTACTTAAAAATCTTGAGTTGTGGTTAAGTTATTTCTAATAGTTATAAAACTTTCATCAATTATTTAATTTTGAATGCGAAAAATAAATAAACTTTCATTTCACATTATTAATAATAAGAAAACTAATAAAATGGAAGTGTTTTATTAAGATATAATGCACGAGTGTTTCCATCGGTAACGTCTTAAATAAAATATATTCCTTTCCAGTATTTATGAGACATCCCTTACCACAGCGCTAAAAATCAACTTCATCTAAAATATAAAAATATATAAATTGATAACAAATATACCAACAAAGTAACAAATTGCCTTTTTTAATAAAAAAGAGAGGCAAGCCTCCCTATCTTCTTCCGATAAAAACTGGTGAGTGTTTATAAATATAAGCAATTCGCTTAAATATTGATATAAAACTTCTTGGCTGGACGCGCCACTTCGTTCAAGTTTTTGATATACACTTATGAATTTCTATAAGCAAAAAGTTTATATTTAAAGAAATGAAATAGACTTTCTATAATAATAATAATAATAATTAGTTCTAATAAAACTTTTTAAAAACCTAAAAAACTTTCTAATAAAAGAAATCGTAATAATAAAATAAAACTTCAATATGTCACTAAACTATTAAAAAAGTCAAAAATTATTATAAGAGTAAGAAATTTATCAGGTACTATTTTCTAGAAAATAAAGCACATAATAATAATAAATAAAGAGAAAAAAATAGAATTAGTAAAACTTTTTTGATGACTGATAACTTTTGTAAATTACTTTTATTTTCTTCGTTATTATTATATTTACTTTTTAGTTTTTATTAATTTTAACAAAGTATAAAATAATAAAAGAAAGTTTTAAAAAAGGAATAAAAAGTTTGCTTTATCACGGTAAAAAAAAATAATAAATCTAAAACTTTTTTTAATTAAAACGGAAAAGCTATATAGAAAACTTAAGGAAACTGTTATGCTAATATTAATTTACTTTTTATTATTAATATAAAGTTTAAACATTAAATAGAGATAATTATAATAATTCGTAGAGTTTTAGGAAGGAATATTATCGCAGAATATTGCAGAATAGTATATAAATATCCATCATAACAGATATAACATTAATAAAAAGAAAAAAATGTATAATAATAATTTATTAATTAAAATACTATTTGAAAGTAAAATATTGCATGAAATAAAAATTATGAATACTAACAAAAAAGTAATAAATTTAATGAAAGTAATACGAAAATAAAAGCTTTTAATAATAAAACAGGCGCACTCGAAAAAGTTTTTCATCCTGAATCTCCGCATGAAAAGTATTGAGAACTTCATGACTGCAATAAGAAGCATCGATAAAACATCTTTCAACTGCAAACTTTTCCTTTTTTATATAAAAAAGAGAAAAAACATTAATAAAGTATAAGAAACTGTCACATCTCTCGGTCTCATTATTAGGTGTTATCATTATTTTACCTGTTATAAGTAGATATTATTATTAATATATTTATATATAAATATTTTTTTATACATTTTAAGCATTAATCAACTTTCAAAGAAAAATATAAAATATAAGCAATATTCATAATAATAAATATTATAATAATAGGAAAAGTAAAAGTAATAAAAAAAATACTGGATGTAATAATTTACAGTAAACTTAGAAAGTTTAGAAGAATAATAAGTCTCAAGTTTCTCAGCGCATCGATAAAAAGAAGAAGTTTCCTGCAAATTCATTATATATATTGTTACTCAAAACGTATACAGTTGATTTTATTTTATTATTATACATATTATAATATTTTTACTTATTATTAAGTTTATTTTCATTGTTGTTATATTCTGTTTACCATTTCTTTTTATATATTATTATGCGAAAAAAAAACAAATCAGATATAAAATTTTTAACTAATAAAATTATTTATAAATTATAATGTCGCCTTTCAGTTTCATTGAAATGATATAAAATATTTTCTATTCAAAAAATTTAATGCCAACAGCAAAACAAACATATACTTTTAATAGTTTTTATAAATATAATATTGATATAATACATTAACCATAAAAAGTTTATAAAAATAAACAATTATTCTTAACAAAATTATTAACTAAAAAAAATTATTATAAAGTTAATAATAATAAATATAATAATTTTTTATAAATATAATAATATTTTTTAATAAATAAAAAATTAATAAAAAGTGTACATATAATAATAACACTTAGAAAAACTTTTATATACGAATAAACCTGATTATAAAGTTTACAATTTTCAATAATAAGTCTAACGTCGTGGGCATACTGATAAATATTATATTCAAAGTCTGTAAAATTTTTAAAAATATAAAAACTGCTGTTTGAAAAATATAAAAAGATATCAGATATTAAAAAAATATGCAGAAAATAGTTTCAATAGTAAAGGAAAAAAGTTTTTTAATCAAAAATAATAAATAAAGTGAAACAAAAAAAGTTAAACCTTTTGAAGAATAGCAGAGACTTTTTAATATTTCCCTCAAACATTTCGGGTGTTCAATAACTTTTAAGTAATTCTAATAATAAATAAAATACAATTTTACTACAAACAACTTTTGAATAAAAACTAAAAAAAATAAATATCAAGACACAACAATTGTTAGGATTGGCTATTTAGGGACACTACAATCCACGTACTTGGTCACAGATTGGCTCAATAAAAGGAACGGCGTCCGGTTGGGCCATAAGTTGGGTATGGAGAACAAGGAGAGGAAGAAAAATATTCTTGGCGCCTTTTTTTCGTATAACAGAAAAGCGATAGGTTGTGAGCGTTTCACTCTTTTCCTTGAGTTTCTGTAAAAACAGATTTTCGTAGGCTTCCAGCTCGCCTTGAAACTTGACGACTTTCAAAGTGTTCAAAAGGAGCCTGAAAAATATAATAAGTTGTTGGACAGTACACTGCTAATAACTATAATACTTACGACTAATGCTACATGAAAAAGTTAGTAAAAACCAACATTCGTTTAATTTATAATTTTTTTATTGTCAGTAAAAAAAAGAACTGAAGGTCACCATCCAATGAGAGTTTATAAAAATTATAGTAACCAATAAGTTTTCAGGAGAAAAACATATCAAATTTTAATATTTTGCTAGGGCGATTACCACCAATAAAAATAGATAAGTTGATAAACCAATCACAAAAGCCAAAGTTTTAAGCCACTCAAAAGTCGACAACAAAATTCAACAGTCAATTCAATATCTACCAGTAAAAACATGAATAAATTTTATAGCAAATAACTTTAGGTAGCCAATGAAAACTTGAGTAATGTTTTATAGTCAATTAACTTTAGCATTGATGGTTAACAACATTCTTACAGTTTATAAAATTGATGTAAGACAGAAAAAGTAATGTTACAGACATGCGAAGAGAGTGCTTACACTAATTAAGTAAGATATACTCTCACTTCTTGAAGCAGATGAAAAGACCAACGTTTATAGCTTTATAAGCAATAAAAAATAACTATCGACTGGTATTGCGTGCATTTATTCGTTACTTTGTATAAGGAAATATATGACTATTGGATAAAAATTAATACAAAATATACCGACCAATAAATAAGTATTATAGAATAATATAACTGATATTTAAACAAGCACACAGAATACCTCAAGTCCGTGTAAAACTGCAACAAATTATCATATTTCTGTTGCTGAATTTTATTCGTTATTTTATTAGCCAACTTTTGATATTCCTTTAACTAAACAAATTATTATTGGTTAGTTTCTAACGACAATTTATAAATTCTTTAGTAAGGATACCAATAATGGCTCTTCCTTATACAAGTCACTCATTTGATTGGATACTTTCACAAATAATGCACCAAGTTCTCTCATCCCTGAAATATAGCGAAGTGTCCATTCTTCTCGCTATTTTTATTTATATAGTAATAATAATAACAATTACAAAAAAAAAAAAAGAGAAACAGTTCATAATAATTCTATAATGAGTAGTAAATTATATAATTATTAGAAAAGTTAAAGCAATTATGAATACTTTATTAAAAAATAATATTAATGCTAATAAATTTATATAAGAGTTAAATATATTGAATAAAATATAATTATAATAAACTTATTATTAAGTATAAAGCAGGTTACATAGAAAATAGTGATAGTTAATAGTAAAACTCATAATAAAGCAGTAAAACGTTATATATCTGTCTTTTTTTTATTGGCTTAAGTTTAACAAAACACTTTATAATTTACGAAATAGAAAAACTATTTTTTATAAAAATGAAAAAATATTTAAAAAATATTATAAAGCACTATAATAATTATAAGTAAACAGTAAAGAATATCAATATAAAACAACACAAAAGTAAAAAGTAAATCTTTATGACTATAAAAAATTAAAAATATTACTAAACACAATTTAAAATGGTATTTGAAACAAAGAAAAATTTAGAAATTCACTAAATAATAATTTGCTCCGTTTCATAATAAAACAGGAGGCAAGGCGCGCCAAAAAATACGTAGCTCGATAACTTGTGCTTAAAAGTAAATAAAGCGCGCAAAATATGAATTATATATAAATATATAGTAATAAGAAGAAAAAAGTAGAAAGAAAAACCGCTACTATTAATATTCCGCGTAAGAGAGAGTTGCTACTTTACCGCTTAAGTTACATGAGTGCCCCAAATATTAAATTAACCAATAAAAGCTCTGATAAATTTAGCACAATTTTTATAAAAACTAAATGCATTAAATTTCAGCAAAGACAGCTAAAAAAATTATATTGACCCGAATCAGAATAAATTGGTAGTAAATTAGAAAAAACTTCCAAATACACAAAAAATTTCAAAGTAAAATTAACATAATAACCAAGTAAAAAGTAACAAACAGAAGAACGTTGCATCATTGGCTCTTTTATACAAACGTTGTACAAAAAATGTAGAACCTCGTCAAGTTGAACAACTGATGTGTTCTGGGATTGGTCAGACTGAATATTTTTATGGCCTTCAACATAAAAGATGTCAAAATAAATATAAAAAGTATCTATTCTAGATAAGAAATTTCTACAGGAATGCCTCGTTGTTCGGGAGTTGACTGTATTTTCCGTACTAAAATAATAATAATAATAATAATAATAATAATAATAATAATAATAATAATAATAATAATAATAATAATAATAATAATAATAATAATAATAATAATAATAATAATAATAATAATAATAATAATAATAATAATAATAATAATAATAATAATAATATAAACTCCGATCCAGCTAAAAGCGAGCAGATCATGGACGTCTGGTTTTTCCTAGGCCTTCCAACTTTTCTATAATTTTTTAGTGAAAATAATAGTCATTAAAAGTTTATATCATTCGGCTTTAAACTTTTATATTAAAAAGTATTACAAGTATTTTCCATCAATAACAAATAAAAACTGTCAGTTAAATTTTTTTTTTTGGAGATATATACAAAACAAAACTTCATATATAGCTCCAATGAAAAGCTCATATAATACTAAAAACCTTTTTTTGGGTGAACTTTCCAAAAGTTGAAAAGCGTTCCCGCTCTTCCTTTTTGCAGTATAGCTATGGAAGCTTGTATCTTTTAACGAATCATAAGAACTGGATTCAGAAGATGAAGAGCATTCACGGTAAAAATATTTAGACTTTTTCCTTAAAGAAAGTAAACTTCATTATAACAGTAAAAAAAATAATTATAAACAAAACCAAAAGCACTTAATGATGTGTTTTGTTATAAAATTTTACTTATCGCAAAATAATGCATTGAAAGTATTTATATTAAAAGTATTTAACAGAATATTTTATATTTTTTATGAAAATACTAAATACTTTTCATTATATATTTATTAAAATATGAATGTAATATATTCCGAACTGCGTATCAGAACGCGTTCTTCTTTTTGCTCGAAAAGAAGTAGTATCTTTTATAGTTGACAAATGCCATTCTTGCTTATCTAAAGTTCATAATAATAATAATAATAATAATAATAATAATAATAATAATAATAATAATAATAATAATAATAATAATAATAATAATAATAATAATAATAATAATAATAATAATAATAGTAATAATTAATAAAACCGGGAGAATGTTGGCTGGTTTTATCATCACTATTTTTGTTGTCCCCCTCCTCGGAAGAGCTTCCATGGACCAATGACAAAAGCATATTTTCTTTCGTAGATGGTGTGCTCTTTTCCTCCGAACTCTCTACCATTGGAGAGAAGCAATGCTCAACAATAGAGCTATCTTGCTCTGTAGTGATTTGTGGGGATGCAGTTTGTTTAAATTTTTGTAAACCATTCGAGACTTCGTTAACTTTATTGGTATTATCTAGAATTTTTATGATTAAATAGATAAAATAGCAATAATAATAGATACTATCTAGTTTCGTTGAAAAATTGAAAATAATATTTTCAAGTTCCCTTTCTAGCCAATAGGATTTAAGCACAATGTCACTTTCTTCTTCATTAAAAAGTTCACAATTTTTTTGAATCTGCTTGACATCCCAAAACAAGCCCTACAATATTTAAAAAATATAAGAAAAGTTTATATATGAAAAAAAATAAAAAAAAGTTTTAATACTAGAGAAGCTCACAATATAAAAATAATAAAATTATCATAATACTGAAATAATAACACTGTAAAGTAAACTTCACTGCATAAATAAAAGTAAACAGAAAGTCTTATAATCCACCAATGGATTTAAGTATAAGTAGAGATTTTACTATATATAGCACTACCTCGATGGAACGGTAATAGCCCGAACGGAGACGCGCAATAACAAGACTCAAGTCAACAGGATATGGTATGATTTTCAGATATCTAACGATTTTGCAAATGATTATGGCAATATGTAAAAGTACTTGTAAATAAGTAAATGCTGAAGATAAAAGTATTCTTCAATATTAGTTTAAATAAATTTTTTTAAAAAAACCTATTATTATAAATATTAGTATATATAAAAGTTGTTATATTCTTTTAAAAAAATTTATGTTATAAAAATAATATTATAGTTTTTACGAAATATCTTTATAACAAAAAGAACAAAGTGTTATAAGTAAATAATTTTCATTAAAAAAAAGTAAAATTTGTAAATATTAATAAAGTGCATAAAAAAAGAAAAATAAAAAAAAAAGTAGTAAAAAGTTAACTATTTCTTCAGGAAATTATTAAAAAAGTAAAGTTGGTATAACTAATAATAAAAGTGTAAACGCAAATAAAAAGTATGTAAAAATATACAATCGTAGTGTATTTCATTAAAAAAAGTTCAATACATTTATTAAAGCTTTTAATATATATAAAAAACTCTTAAAGTATATAAAAATCTAAAAAAAGTGAAATATACTAAACTTGCGAGAAAAAAATTAAGTAAAAAATAACTCATTACTTTTATAATATTCTTATAATTTACATGATTATTACTACGCTTGTTACTATAATATTTGCTATTATTAAAAACATATTTATATAAAAATTCATAATCATAATAATAATAGCGACAATAACACTACTCTGGATAAGAATCGTAGTCCACGGGAGCAACAAAGGGATTGGTGTATTCGTGTTCTAACAAACTTGTGAAGCCGGCAATAAGCCGGTCAACTTCGCGCTGTTCAATTCGTTCTTCGAAGGGTCGATAATTTTCTCCATAGAAGGAGGATATTTCTATTATTATTATTTACTTTATTTCTATAACATTAATAATTATTTTTACATATTATTTTCTATTAAACAATTATTGTTTTATTATTATTATTATAATTTTATCTTTAATATTTATATTACTATTTATCATATACCTCATTTTTTCATTAACTTTTTATAAATATTAATATCATCACTATAAATAATTATTATATAGTGTTTAATATAATTATGATTATCAGGAACCATAAGGCTCCAAATCCCACGCGCTCAAACGGTCAATACATTCTAAACTTTCCTATAAATAAAGACAAAGTAAGTACAGCTTTCTTAGCTCATTATAAAGAGTGCAGTGATAATAATCATCCAATAAACAGACAAACGTGTGCTTCGTCCGAGCCGGCGTCCCAACGAATGATATACCGCTCAAAGTGAGACTCAGGAAAGCGAGAGTCAGCTGGTTGCATACCGCTTATAGTTCCAGAGTACCTTTCGTTATGATCAGTATTGTAATAATATTTGTTATATGTCACAAAACAACTTTACATACAAACAATGAAAAAGGAGTAATGATAATTGTAAAAATATTATTATAAAAATTTCTTTAAGTCTTTTAGAAATAAAGTTCAAACTTTTTTGATGAAGTGTATAAATTTTTTTTTATAAAAGTCTCTAATTATAAATCCAAGTAATATATAAACTTCTTCAGTGATTATCCATTTCTTTAATAAATAAGTTTTTTTTCATTAAAAAATTTGTAAATTTTCTTATAACTTTATAAATATTTAGAAAAAAAATATCTTAAAGTTTTATATACTTAAGCTTCTCTTGTATACACAAAATAATATAACTTAATGTTATTAATAAAATTATATACGAAAGCCTTAAAGTAAAACACAAAAAAAAATGCAAAAAATTACCATTTTTGGTCAAACATGGCTTGAACTTTCGTACCAATTTGCCAGTTTTGTAAAACAGAGGCTTCATAACGAGAGGCGAGGATAAGAAGATCGGCAACACCAGGCTTGTCGTGAAAACTCACCGTAAAACTTCCTCTTTTTTAGTAATACTTAGAAATATAACAGTTGCATTGATAAAAATATATAAATCGTACATGTTCTCAAAATCAGGTGACTCTACTGGCTGAAGCCTTACCTGACACGTGGTCGGCGGCCCAACAAAATATTTTAAAGCTTTTACTTTGCATTTCAGGGCAACCGGAAAGTTTCTGTACCTTCATTAAAAAATGCAATAAAAAGTATATGAAAAGCTCATCATAAAAACTTCAGCACAGTCGAACAAAAGAGTAATCGCAAAAATATTATAACAAATTGTGTCAAAAAATAAATCAAAGAAGAAAAAGGCCATCTATAATTGGTCCGAAATAAGTTTATAGTAATAAAGTAAATACAAGTAAAATTGGCACAAGATTTGATAATAAAGAAATTAATAAATATTATCTTTGTTTAAATATTTAATAAAAAAGTAACAATAAGAAGCTCACAAATTTTATTGAAAAAATAAAAACATAATGTGCGCTCAACAACTTTTCTATAAAATAGAAACGTTTTATAATTAATTTTCTTATAAGTAAATAATAACACATTTTTATTAACTTCGTAATAAAAAAATGAAAAATAAAAAACGTTCTTATTAAAAACTTTCTTGTAAATAAAAATTATTCAGCCTAACTAAAAGTTACAAAAAAAGAAAAAATTAAAGAAAATTCAAATTTTTTATAAATACTAAGCAATAATAATAATGATAAACTTTCTCCAGGGATAAACAACTTTTCCTAAAAGATGCAAAAGTTTATCGTCCTTCATTGACTGTACATATCTAGCATGTGCTTGCCTCAGATAGACAACAGTATCACCAACCTGAAAATAATGTAGAAAGTGAGAACTTAAAAGATTTATTATAATAACTGTAACAAAGGTACAGAATAATATTAGAATAAAAAAGTAATTTCTAGTTAACTTCAGTATTTTATAAAAAAAATAAGGCTAACAAAGATAATAATAATTTTTAAGGAACCAATAAAAACATTAAAAAAGAACCAATAAGTTTTCTTTCAACAACAAAAAATTACTTGTGGAGTATACGGAGTGAGCGAGGGCTCCGACGCTGTTATCCAAGGCGATGGGGCAAATTCCTGCCAGTCCCGCTCATCGTTATAAGCTAAATATAATAAATAATAACACTTATAATAAATAGGAAAGCTTATATTATAGCAAATATAAATAAAAATAACAAAAATAAAAAAATTAGTATAATAATAGTAGAATAATAATTAATAAAACTTATAACAAAGGCAGTAATGGGATATTCATAAAAAATTAATAAAAAAAACTTAAAAATTATAATATATATAACCAGCGTGTCTCAGTGTATTCCTTGAGGTTGCCCGCCTTTTCGCGCGCCTTTCAAGCTTTGCTTGTTGTTGTTGGTTGTATTCTCTTTCTGCCTCTCGCTGCTCTCGTTGTTTCCGTTGTTTAAGAAAGTTTCTTCGTGCCTATTTATTTATTTATTTATTTATTTATTTATTATTATTATTATTATTTTATTACTTGCGAAATAGACATGGTCGATGATGAAGGAATAAACTCATCAATATCTATATTTTGCTTCTGAGCCTTTTCATATATAAAAATTTTTATTAAATAAAATAAAAAGAGGAGACAATTCCTATACGACGAAAAGCAAAGTAGTAAACGGCGCTAAATTGGTAGGCAATTAAAAAATGAGTACAAATAAGTTACAAACTGGTTCAAACAGATTTATAACAAAAAAAGAGCGCTTAAATTATCAATATGATGCAATAATGGCAATTGTGGGTACACAAAATAATTTATGTCATGATGATAGTATTTATATGATAATAAAACTAAGAAGAGAAGAGAAAGTAATAATATAAAATTGATTATTTATATTTTATATAAACAAAATAGAGAGAAACAAAAGTAAATAACTATTAAGTAAAAAAAAATAAAATTATAAATATTGTAACAAAAAGTAGTTCTATAAAAACTTTATTATTAACATATAAAGCAAAAAAAATAATATAAAAAATAAAAATTTTAATAAAACTTATTTTTAAAAACTTTTAAAGTCCTTATGTAAAGTAGTTTTAGTAAAGAAATAAAATAAATATTCTTATTAATAAAACTTTATTTACAATTATATATAAAAGAAATATAAAAAAAGGCTAAATATTAGATATTAAACCAATAAAGAATCTTAAAAATTGTAATAAAAGTAGTAATAAAACAATTCACTATTATTCAATAAACAATGTAAAATAAAAACTCGAATATAATAAAAGTATTTGATTCAAAAATATATATAAAAAATTTTATCAACTAAAGTAAAGTAGTCACAAAGACTTAAAAAAAAACATTTTATAATATAAAAAGTAAAAGTGTTAAAAAATATATATATAAAATTTATAAAGCAATCATTTTTATAATAAATATATCAAAATACACGGAAGCTTCTAGTGCTGATGGTCCTTTCGTGGAAGTATATATCTCTCGCGTTATAATAATCGTATTCTTCGTCGCTCGAGCATAACTACCAGCAAAAAAAATAATGATATGAAGGTAGCCATCGTACCATGCAAAGGTTTTTTATGTACTTTACAAAATATAGTTAACAGTATAAATAGCGTTAAAGTTTTTTGTGTATTTTATAATAACAACAAACAGCGTCATATAAATCTTTAAATAAACTTAATATTAAGTTAGCAGGAGAAACAATCCCAAAAGAAAAATAATGAAAAATTATTATCATAATATTATAAATAAGAATTATAATAGAAGAGGAATGATTATTATTACATCACTTTCTGTTTTAATTTCTTCTTCATTGGCTTCTGGTTCTTCAAGGATTTCTTCTCTCACGTGCAAGCGAAGTGTGTGGTTCTCATTTTGTAGGGACTCTTCGCAGGCATAATAATAATAATGAATATAATAATAATAAAAATAATAACCAGGCCGGAGAACCCGGTAGACGGGCTTCGGTTCGAAATACGGGTGCTCAAACTGATCCAATGAATCAGGATTCAACGTAACAACCTGAACACGTGACTTGTTTACGACACATTCGTCTATCACAAGGCCATTAGGTCGAGCAGCCCGCCTGCTCTTACGTAGTTGAGCGTCGTAGTAGTTTTGATGGGGAGTTGGTATAGCATAGAGTAACGATTCTCTATGTTGTACTTCCAAAAACTCGCGAGAACGACAGAATAGTGAATTTTTCCATGTGGATGGCCATATGGGACGTGCCTTGTTGAGATCCTGCTGCTGTGATTCGTCGTAGACAGTAATCCCTACAATCGTTACATTTCCAGTGAATATTTGATAAAAATAATAATGAATCGCTCCAAACTTTTAGATTTTTTTTAAAAATAATTTTAAACAACTTCATAAGCAGAAAAAAAATATTTAAAAAGTGTTTTTAATGACTTTTATTACAGTTTTATAAAAGTAACTTATTTATTTAGTAAAAAAAAGGCATTCAAGTTATCTATGCATAATAAAACTAACTAAAAATACTATATGTAACTGTAAAATATTCTTTTATTCATGTAAATATATAATAATAAAAAGTAAAATAAGCAAGTTACTATTTTTCTATCACATTTTTTAAAATACAACTTTTTTATTAATAATAAATTATAATTTTTCTATATTAAAATTTTTATTTTTTTATTATATAAAAGAAATTTGCCTGATGGACCTAAAAAGTACAAAAGCGTAGAGAAAAACTTTATAAGGATAATTTTATAAAGAGCGTATATGTTAACTTTACAAAGAATAATATTTGTAATTGCGATTAAAATATGTAAAAAGGAAAAGGCTTACGCTTATTATGTATAAAAAAAGTTTTTTTCTAGTAAAAATATATAAAGTTTGTAAATAGGCAAACTATAGTATTTATTCTTATTATAAAAGTCACCAAAAATTTTATCCACAAACGTATAATCCACCAAATCGTCTTCGATTATCTAAATTTATAATCGTAACTAAGAAAAGTTTGTAAATATAATGAAATAATAATAATCTAATATAATATAATATAATATAAACATCCGGCCGCGTGTCAATGAAATTTCCATTTTCATCATAAACGAGTTCATCCATATAATCACTTCTAAAAAATTGATTGGTTGGCACTTGATTGCCGAGTGGCGTGTCGTGAGTATAATAAGCACAGTAACCTTTTTTACATTAATAATAATAGTATACAAATTGTTATTTTAAATAACAATCAAAAAAAAAGTATGTCTTATAAATATGCAATATATTTAAAAGTAACATTATCAAAAAATGTTCAGTTATTATAGTATAATAAAAACACTACATATAAGGAAAAACCTTATTAAAAAAGAAACAGAAAAACAAATAAAAGCATAACAAGTTAATTTTTTATTATTAAAAAAAACAAGTAAAGTGTAAATGAATAAATATATAATCTAAAAGAAAAAAAATTATAAGTTTTAATAAAAAATTTGTTAAAGTTTCAATTTTTTATATATAATACTAAAAATATATAAAAATAAATAAAAGTTTAAAAAAAATTTGTTTATATAAAAAAAAGAAAAGTATATGTACTGTGTTAGTATTTTATTAATTATTTTGAAAAAAAAGAAGGCATTAATGAAATATGAAAAATAAATTAAAAAACTTTTTCATAAAAACAATTGAGTAAAAAATATATATAAAACTGTAGTAAAATACAGTTCCTATAAAAAATACACAAAAAAAATATTGAAAATGCTACAAATGGAAAAAAATGAAGAGCGCTAAATAATAATGAGACCGATAAATATTTAAAAGAAGTTAGTTAATGCAAAGGAAGATTATGTTTCTGTAAAGCAGTGAGTATTTATTAAACTCATAAAAAGTTTAAATAATAAAATTTAGAATTATAACGAAAAAAAATAGAAGCTCTTATAAAATAACAAATCACATGATAAAATTTATTATATATATTACAATTATTTTTATTAAGAGTATTATTATTATCATTATTATTATTGATACCGTAATGAGTGACGTGAAGAGCATTAGCTTTATGATCATCTAAACCAACAGTTAATACCTTACGAAAGTAAAAATAAAAAAAAAAAAAGTAAATATAAAAGGTATTTACTGAACTAAATAGAACGACTTGCATTAAAAAAATTATTCTTCCAAAATAATCATAAAAATTATATAAAAGCGCGTCGAATCTCAACAAATTTTTTATAAAAACTATAAACCTAAAAAATATAAAAAAGTCTTGAATATTAATTTCATTAAAAAGTAACTAAACAAATGTTCCCAGACAAACACCTTCATTGGTTAACTTATTATTTTACAAAAAAACTCCAAATAATAATCAATAAAGTACTATAGAGTTTCCATCCATAGAAAAGCGGCAGTCTCGTATTTTCTGTTTGATGTGCGGAAATGTTGGATCATAATTACAATCACTCCAAAGCACGCGCCCTTTTTTAAAAACATATTAAAAAACAAGTGCACAAAAAAAAAGAAGTCTTCATAATGAAACCGGCGGTTTTCTATGATTATCGGCTCTTAATTTGTTAATCCACAAAAAGTTTTATATATAAAAAATTCAAAAAATATATACGTTATTTAAGGGGTTTTAATAAAAATATACAACCACCACTAAAAATCTTAATTTTGTATTAATAATGTGAAGAATTATAGAAGTAGAAGTAGATAAAAGTAAACTAACTCACCAAACAGAACATCCCAAATACAAACAACTCCGTCCTCGGCAGCACTCATAAAAATGTTTTCATAGACAGGATTACTTAGTAAGTGGTCGATGCGTCCGGCATGCCCTTAAATTTTTTTAAAAGTTTATTAAAAAAGCGAAAAAATTAGTAAGACCAATGTTATTGCTTTAATAAGTTTGCTCAAATATAAAAATTAGCTTCGTTATAATTATAAAGAAAGATATATTCGGTATAAAGAAAACCTAATAAGGAGTGGAGCAACTCCCCAGTATCAGACTTCCATATTTTTAATGTAAAATCTTTCACAGCAGTGCACACTACGTTTAATTATAATATTTCGCTAAAAAAAGAGAGCCCACAATATGGCCAATTATAAAAGGGGGTAAGTTTAAATAAATAAAATACAAGATTAATGAAACCGCAAGCAAAAATTATGCCGAAAGACAAAAAAAATGGTAAAAAAATGAAACCTAATTGGTCGGCAAGGTTCCATGCAACCATTGTTATTTCTTTATCGTTTTTTCTCTTTTGAGTCTTATAAAAAGTAATATATTATAACGAATTACAAGTAGTCTTTATAATTAGCAAGTTCACCAATTAAAAGTAAAATAAGACCTGAGCTTCGGTAACAACGTGTCGCTCACAGTTTAAAACCACTACGTCCAGCTCATTGGACGAAAACCTCCAAATAATCGCACGCCCGTCAGAAGAACCCGATAAAAGTCGGTCTCCTGTAACAAAGGGTATCAAATGAAAGTTATCAATTACAAGCTTCCTATATTTAAAAACCAAAAACGAGCAACAAAAAGTAATTAGCCAACCGGCATTTGAAAACTGAAGGGAGGAAACCCTCATGCTGTGGCCATTTAGCTTATTGACGAGGCGGATGGCATCCCGAGACAAATGTTGGGGCACGTGGTACACAAGAACACGCCCGCATTCGTCTCCCTTAGAGTCATTATAACAATAAAAGTTGCGAATTTTTAAGTTATTAATGTACGGCCGCAAAAAAGAGTCCGCCGGGGCTAAAACAAGAACAGCAAACTTCATTGTCATCCCGAATTGTATTATTTACGACTACTTTACGCTCATCAAAGTGGGCAGCATAAACAAACTTAAGTTCCTCATCTATATCGTTCATTAAATAGGGTGCACAAATTTTATTGTGTATAAAAAAAACCGCATGTTGTTAATGTGGGTTCTTTCACGTGTTTTTCGAGTCTCCAAAAGCGCACGGAGCCGTCAAAGCCAGTCGACGCAACGCAGATGGAATCACGATCATAGGTTGGAGAAAACGCAACAGTGTGGATATGCGGATGGTTGTTGCCTGGATTATATAAAGAGGTCACTAAAATATATGTAACGGTAATACAGGCTTAAAGTAGGTTAACTTTGCTATTCAATCCACAAACTTACTGTAAACTTAAAAGTTAAGAAAAGCAGTATAAAAGTTCAATACACCAATCGGCATCAACCAAAAAATCAATAAAGTTCACACGTAATAACACGAGCTCTTCTTCAAAAACAAACTATTTATACATCATCCCATGCTCCTATTTACCTTCTAAAATAGAAATAATAGTGCCGGACTTCATACGCCAGACGATAACTCGGTGGTCGAAAGCACACGTGGCCAGCATTTCATTGTTTGCACTGAGCGCCATATCCGATATGCTTCCTGTGTTTATCATGCTCTATAGTCTAAATATAGTTGATAAAAGCAACGCGCTCACCTGAGTGACCTTTTAAACTTTTTAGTAACCTACCAGTTTTGCAACTCCATACTTTAATTAAAAAGTCATCAGAAGCCTTAATAACCAATAAATAAGTAATTATTTCATCAAAACTATATTATAATATTCCAATGAAGTAAAATAAGTTAACGTTTATATAAAAAATATTAAAAAGAATACTTCGGTATACAAAAAGTTTATATATCTATTTCCTACATATACTTTAATATGTATTTAAAAATAAACTAGTATTAGGCGAAAAAGTTACATAGTAAACAAGAGCACTATTATATATAAAGACTTAAAAGAATTCTACACACACACCTTTCATATAGCTTTTAATGAAAGGCAAAGTATATAGAAAAAATAGATTAAATATAATTACAGTCAAAATACGAGTGCCAGTCTTATCAAAAAGTACGCAATAAGCTTGTTCAATATGCCCTTTAAAAAGAGGAATTTAGAGGAAACTTTCATTAAATTAAAGCTTTATTTACCTGTCACCTTGAATTTTTTATTCAACGAGTTAAATGCAAGAGAAGGAAGCTGCTTCAATAACTTTGAAGGAGTTTCACAGCGAATTTGGGTCCCTAAAGACAAGAATTTTACTTAATAAATACATTAAAATTAAGCATAAATGTATTAAATATTTATAAGAAAGCAAAAAGGTTATCAAGAAAACATAACCTTTTAATAAAGCAAGTTGACTAATACTCCCAAAGTCTTCTTTAGTAAAAAAATGCTTATGATGAACTTTATAGCTTTGATAAGAAGTAAAAGGCTCAGGAGATATAGTATTCTGCTAACAAATAATTGTTATAAAAAATTTGTTTATACAAAAAAAAAGAAGAAAACTTTTGCTTTGTCATAACGCAAAAGATCAAATTTTCCATCACAGAGAAGAGTGTTTTTGTTTAACACTAATAAAAAGGTAGTTGAAGTAATAATAATAAGCTTATATAAAAGCGGTAATGTTAAAATACAATATAAAAAATGACTAACGAGGAGTAGGGCTAAATTCTTGAAGTATGCGTTGAAATGATTGGCACATCGCTAATAGCCTGTCCGGTTTCACGTGTGGATGGAGTATAGCCTTTTACAACAAGTACAATAATTATGGTAATACTTTTATTATTGTGCTTGCGCGGAAAGTTACTTAACTAGATATTCCATTAAAAAAAATTAATAATATTAATGATTTTCGATTTTATAAAAGCGCCCTGATAACTTTATCTTTAAGATAGTTTTTTTTTATAAAAGAAGTCGTGAGTAAAGATTTTTATTCGCACTCGGGACATTATTATTTACTACGGTAATTTTGAGTGTACTTCGTGTTGGTGCCAAAAAAATTCAACTATAACATTCAAATGTTATATAAATATGACATAATACACTCGCTTTTTATTAAAAAAAAGATAATTTAAACCAAACTACACTAGAAGGGAATAGGCATGGCCCTGGCGGAGTTGCCCTCAGTTTGACTTACCTGATTTTCCCTAGCATTGTTTAGCTTCCAATGCTTTAAATAATGTATAAATTCTAAATTACTGAGAGGAGCAGTTATACTATTGATGTATTACGCTTTATAAACTAGTATATTTCTGTATATTCAAAAAAATGTACATAGAAAAAGTAGATCATATACAAGGGTTAGGATTCAAAGTAATTTGGGTTTCTGCTTAAATGAATAGTCGCAAAAGTTAAACAGCAAGTTAGATATATTTTATAAATAGTTAACTTTATAAAAAATAAAAATAATTTAAAACTCTTTTAATGATTTTGATGAACCGTGGACCCAATTTTTAAAAATTTGGGTAACAAAATTTTTTCTTACCAAATCTTTATATTCGACTACTATTCCCTCGCTAGCTTCACTTCTCTCAAAACCTATTTTTATAATAAATAAAAATTATAATATTTTATTAAATATACAGAAATAAAAATAGATAGCCCCTAAATTAGTTAAGCAATATAAAAACCTTCCATTGTCCCAAAAAGCCTTTTAGTAAATATTTCATTTTTTAAAACAGAACTGCTCTCCTTACAACCGCAGCTTTCAAGAAAGCCACAACATAAGAAAAGTAGTTCTTTTTTAATAATTTCCTCATTTGAATCTCTTAAGTTTTCAGATGCTTCGCCAAAGCCACTATCAGCATTTAGCGGTTCGAATTCTTGATGACTTTTATGGGAGTTACAAGAGGGAATTCGTGTGGTACTATTTCCATTTGGAGCCGTTTTTACGTGGGGCATTCCTGTCTAGTAGCGTCGTTCTCGATAAAGTGCAGCTTTGGTTTTTACTAAAGTTTTTTTAGTCATTAAACCTTCACACAAATTCTAGTATAGTATAAAGAATATTTTAATGTTATATTTATATTTTTAGCAAATATAATATTATTACACTAATTATAAATATAATGCGTAAGCTGTAATTTACTTGTATATTATTCTTACTTCTAGAGCAGAAATATATATTATAGTATAATAATATAATATTTATTTACTTAAAACCTTATACACTAATATTTATATGTTAATACTTTGTAAAAAGTTGATTTATTCTCTATAAACGTGAAACTTTAAAAGACTAACAATTGTTTCAAACTTGTTTTAAAGGCGGCGCAGACCGAAGTGGAGGGCGTGGGCGGCCCCAACTTGCAAACTTTTAGTGGTCCTTTGCTTGCCCTTTTTTTACACCCTGCGAAAATTTGTATAAAATTTTTGCTGTTACGGAAAAACAAAGGATGCTTCACTTTAACTCCATAATTTCATGTGGGCTTTTCATTGAAGATGTTTAAAAAAAAAGCGAAATCGAATAAAACATTTAGAAGAAAGGATTCTGAAGAGCCTTTTACGGTTGAGGAAGTTAGCGATTCTAAGGATGTAGAGGTGCTCAGCCTTTGCAGCGTTCCTGTGAACGAAAGTACTGAGAAGTATTCTTCTGAGTCTGAACAACAAAAGCTACAAATTTTGAATACGGGAAAAAGTAATAAATCTTCATCGGAACTTAAAAGGATAGGCCCAATAAGTTATGAAACCGAGGTTCTTGCATGACCTTTTTTTTCCCCTTAAACTTTCTCTTGTAGTATGAAAACCTTTGTTACATTTATTTTTTTAATATATTTACTTAACGTAAAAGGAAGAAAAAGAAGACTTTTTATTTAAAGTTAAAAAGTCGAATGCTAGCAAAAAACTTTCTAAAGGGCAAAAGGTCAGAGTGGTCTCCTTTGAAAATCAAGATGACCAAGAATGTATACTTTTTTTTTTTAATTTACTTCATTTACTAAATAAAAAATATATATGTATAAAATATAAATTAATATACTTTTTCTAATACAATAAAGCTGTTACGGCATATGGCCGTGGGTTGATGGGAGAATATACTCAAGAAAAACTTAATGAGCTTAAAGGAAAATGCACTCGAGTTCTATTGCGCGAAGCACAAGAAACTTTAGAAAATAAAAATTCTGAAGATTCTTCCTGTACTCTAGACGAATTACATTCTAAAGAACTAAAGGAATCCAGCTTTTTACTAAATACTAATTACACAATAATTCCTGATGCCAATCAAATTCATTTTGCTAGGAAAAAGAGAGTAGTTTTGTATAGCCTACTTTTTAAATATTATATATAATTGTTTTTTTTTGATAGGAAAGAGCTCGTCAGGCTGCAGAATTTATTTCTTTAAGTAATGATGAAGAAAAGCCAGAAATTCTTGAACTTGAAAATATGGGGCAAGATCAAATTTTGCCTTTCGGTAAACTTAATTTTTTAAATAAAATTTCACACTTTAATTTTTTTTATATTTTTTAAATATTTTCCATTATCTACTATCTTTACCAGATATATTGCTATTTTCTATATAATTTAAAATTTTTATTAATTATTTCTAAATTTTCTTTTACTATATAAATTTGCATTAATTGCCTGAAGGCGATTGTACTGCTGTTGAAAAAGAAAAAAAGTTAAAAGAAATTGAATCTGCTTATTTTGATTCTAATTCCGGTGATACTCAGTTGCACTTAGCTCAAGATGAAGCGGACACTCAATTCTCCAGTGAAGATGAAGTTTAATATATATGCATTTATTATATATTGAGCTTCTTAGTTTTTATAATTATATTAATTATAATGAGTTATTGATATTTATATTATAATTATCGTACATTTCTGTGAAATTTAATAATTTCTGAGGTATGTGTCACTTTTGCACTTATAATCTTTTTTTATTTTGAGATTATTATACATTTGTTAGTAAATTTTTTAAAGTAGATTTAAATTTCTTAAAAAGTTTTTTTTAAAATCTATTTTATAAAATTTTCCCCTTTTATATAAAATTAGAGCAAAAAGGTTTAAATAAAAATTATTTCTTACATATATTAACTTATATTTTAAGTTGAAGCCTGTTTATTTATTTTCATTGATTTAAATTTAGAAAAAGTGGAATTTTAATTATGTTTTTTTTCGTAAATTTATAAACATTTAGTATAATTTATTAACATCTAATAATTTCTGTAAATATTTATAACAATAATAATATATATTCATCAACTTTAAATTTAAATTTTTTTATAGTAGTTTAAATTACTTTTCATTTTTATCTATAAATTATTTATTTTTTTTTTAATTTTTAAAAAGCAATTTATAAATTTTAGTTTACTTCTGTAAAACCTATTATTTGAGAAAAAGTATAATTCTTCATAATTTTATAATATATTAACTTTATGTAAATCAAACTTTTTCACTTTATTTATATATATATATATTTTTACTATATATAATACTAATGTTAACGTTTTTTATATTTATTATATTCTAGTTACTTTTTAAATTAATTAAATCATTTCCGTCTAAATTAATTAACAATTAGCATTGTTTTTTTTTAAGCAGATGGTTAAGTGGGAACGAGAACAAATCCGTAAAGGAGGCGCGTTTAAGGCTGTTAAGCTAAATTTACAAGACGATATAAAGGGCAAAAGCATGTCAAATGTTTTATCGACCATAATTCCAAAGTTAATTTTTTAATAATATAATTTTGATTGAAGATCTTGTATTTAAGTTTATTACTACGTTTACTGTTATTAAAAAATATTCAAGTTTTTCATAATTTATATTTTAATAAAAATGTTTTTAGAAGAATTTCTGAAAAACTTTGTTATCACAACTATTTTATAGTTTATTTGATATTTTCTTTTTATTTAATAATTAAAGTTTCCTTATTAATTTTACATGTAATAAAAAAATTTATACTAAATTAAACTTTTACTGGACATTTTTATTGGGATTATTTCTTAATAAAATCTTAATACGTTTCATGTTTGTATTTATTAATAACTCTTTTTAATATTAATTTTATTATAAATATAGTTTTTGCTATAGAAATTATACAAACTAGGAGTTTTCTTAGAAAGAATTTTGTAACTTTGGATTTTGTACTTACTCTGTTAATTCTTATTGAAATTTTTTTTGTTAGAACGTATTAATAAAATTTGTGTCAACTTCTATTAAGTTTATTTAGAAATATTTCTTATTTTAATGATGGAAAGTAAGTCTTTGGTTTCAATAGTTTTTTTAGTTTTTTTATTGTAATTACTTTTTTATAATTCGGTGAATTCTTTTAAAAAACCTTTTTTTAAAAAATAAAATATAAGTTTTTAATTAAAGTTTTTAATTTTTAAAGGATATTTAGTTAAATCACTTATAACTTAAATTTATACTTTTTTTTTACTAATAATTTTTGAAAGATTTCTTTTACTTTAAAACTTTTAATATAAATTTAAAGTTTATGTAGGAAATTAAAATAACCGGATTTAATAAGAATAACTATTATTAAAGTTAATTCATTACCTTTTAGATTTCAGTATTTTTTTGCTTTTATAAAGTTTTTTGAGTACTTTAATATTTTTAAAAAAAAAAATTTGTTATTTTTTAAATTTTATAGAAGTTATTTTATTTATAGTATTGTTTTTTTGCTTTTTATAATTTTTATTTTTCTTACTCTATTTTAATAAATATTTCTTTTTCAACGTATAATTATTGCACTTTATATCTTAGTATTTTTATAAAACTATTTTTGTTATTTTTTACGATACACTTCTTTATTTAAAAAGTTTTCATTAACTTTTTTACTTTAACAACTTTTTATTATATTAATTCCTTAACTACTTTTACTTATATAAGCCTTTTAAATATTTTTTGTAGTTTTCATTTTACTATATGTATAACTTTATAACTTTTTATATATTAATCTTTTTTGTACACCTTTATAAAGCTTTATATATATTTATAATTTTCATTAAATGTTTATATATATATATACTATATACAGTTTATTATTATAGAATATAAAAGTATTTTAGTAACTATAATATACTAAATTTATAATAGTTTAAAAGTGAAATATTATATATATATATGTATTAAGCCGGGGGACATTTATTTTTACCTTTTAACGTTCTTAATATATTTTTTACTTATTTTAAAATAAAACTTAAACTTTTTTTTATCGTTAATTTTTTAAAAGTTTTGCATTTTATATATATATTTTTTAAATTGATTGAAGTTTAAAAGTTCTTAATAGTAATTATTTTTATAATAAACTTTTTATACAAACTTTAGAATTTTTATATATACTTCCTTATTTTCAAATATTATTGTCATAATAAAAATTATCGAACTTTTTATATAAAACTTTAATAATAAGAAATTTATATATTTTTTATTAAAATTATTTACTTTTTACTATAAGAAATTTCTTATTCTTCTTTCTTTCTCATCACTTTTCTCTATTTACTTTTTACTTTTTACTTTTTTGTTTGTTGTTAAATTTTTACTTATTATTATATATGTATTTATACTTAAAAATAATGAAAAACTTTCTATTATTGATTCTTCTTAGGCTGCCTGAAAAGCCGTTAACGAGCGTTGCCGACTTTATTTCCAGGCTCGATATAAATATTCATAAAATTTCCTCAAGTTTTAACGTATTACCAATAAAATGCTCTTTTTTCCCCCCAACAATAATTTTTAGTTTATAATAAACTATTTCTGTCTTACACATAAATTTATAGGAAAATGATCAACATTCCTGCGAGCTTCAACAAAATATAGCGGCTATAGAGTCTCGACTTGAAAATTTTACCAAAGAAAAAGAAAAAAATGAAAAACTTTTTGAGTTTTTCCAGCGGATTTGGTCTGAGATTCACACAATTATTGATTGTTTGGATGAAAAAGTATTATCTAAGTTTTATTTGTACTTTTTTATTATAAAGATTTTTGTTAGTTTGATTATTAAGGAAAAGTTTATAAATAATAAGAAACTTTTAGATTTACATAATTATCAGCATGTTTGGTTACCCAAATATTGTAGTTTTATTTATTATGATTAGAAAATATAAAAATAAAGTTTTAAATTTTATTATTTTAAGGGAAAAAGTGTCATTATTTAGTTTTAATTTTTTTTCCTCTATTTTATTATAACATTTTTACTATTTATATTATTATAACAAAGTTTATTTTAAAAACAAAAAACTTTTTGGATGGAAGAGTATTAAAAAATTTCCAATTTTACTTGAATATTGTAGTTTTTATTATATTTTACTATGAATTTTTTTTTGTTTATTACTCTATAAAAGTTTATAAAAATTGAAAAGTTGTTGGAGAAAAAATACAAATCATCAACTTTATTTGAATATTGTAGTTTTCATTATAGTTTATTGTAAAGTTTTAATTTTTTTTTTATAATTTAAGAGTTTATATAAAAAATAAATACTTTTTTGAGTTCCGTTAAAGATTCTCACAAACACTTTTTTTGATAACAACTTAATTTTTTATAATAAAATGTTACTCTAATATTTTTAAGTCGATAGTTTATATATAAACTTTGTATTGATATCTTTTCTTTAAAGTTTATAATTTAATGTGTTTTTTAAAAAAAATTGTAATAAAAGTTATTGTAGTTTTTAATGTATACATTTGTTATTGCTATTTTAAAAGTTAATAATAATATAACTCTTTAATTTTTTATAAAATTTTTTTTGTTATTATTTTAAAATTATATGCAACATTTTTATAATAATATTTTTTTATGTTTATAAAAAAAAATTTCTACTTAAAGTATTAATTATAATATTTTTTATTAATAAACTTATTTAGTAAAATTTTTCACATAATATATTAAATTTGTTTTATAAAATAATATATATCATTCACAATATTTTTATTATTCCCTTTTTTTTTAAAATTTATAATTATTGAATAAATTTTATTCATAGTATGCTAATAACTATTTTTCAGTTTAAATATTATTTTTAAATTTTGCTTATTTTAACAATTATTGTGTTTTATTATTGATTTAACGTCACTTGTTTATTATTATTATATTTCATTATAATTTTGTATTCATTATTTTGCAGGCTTCTATCATTAGCGAACTTGAAGCCCGTTATCATGTGGAAGTGAAGAATGCATTCCACAAAACTTTCGACCAACAGAAACGTTTTCATTACGATGATTACTGAACTTAAACGACTTATGCTTTCGTATTTCTTATGATTATTTTAGTTATTCCTATTATATAATTATTATGTTTTAATTACATTTTATTAAGAACAAGGAATCATCGATATGATTCCTCCAGTGGAAGACGTTACTGATTCTTTTGGCCGTAAAAAAAATGATAATGATAAGTTGAGGAGAAAAGAGCGCGAAAATTTAAGGCGAGCCACACCCATGGGGCTATCTGCTGATAAAGAGGAAAAGGAAGAAGATCATTTGTTTACTTATTGCTCTGCTGGCTTGCCCGCTTCTATTATTGGTAGGAAGTTTTGTTTTGAATAAATTTTAAGCTTTTTTCGATTTATTATTGGCGCATTATATTTTATTACAAATTTTGATTTATAAGTATTCCACAACGTTTTACTTGTTTAGTGTTTTACATAGAAATAGCTATTTTTATTTATAAAGCATATAAAAATAATATACGCCTCTTTTCGTTACATTTAGTTTACTTTTGTAAGTTCATTACAAGTAAAATATATTTTTGGCTTTATAGAAAAATTATTGGTAGATTTTATAATTTATCACCAACCAAACTTTGTCATTTTTATTACAATTTTTCCCAATAATTTTATAAATTTCACTATATTATTTTACTTTATACTTTATTATCTTCTTGTGAAATATAATCTGTTTTACGGTGTAAATACGTTTGTTATAAACTATGAGTTTATAATATTATTAAAAGATATTATCCAATAGAAAAGTATCAAGATTATAAATCTCGCGTTTTTGTAGATGCTGATCCGAAATACGGAACTTTGGAAGGTTAGAAATTCACTATAATTATTGACTCTACTATCCCACATTTGTGTAATGTTACACGAGAGCTTTATTAGTTCTGCTGACTCAATACTTTATCAGCATCCCGTTGTAGTTTTAGATATACATTTAATATATAATATCACTTACAATTGGTTAATCATTGTAATTTGCATCAGTTCTTAAAGATATTTTAGCTTATAAATAAATTTATCATCGCAGTTAATTTTATTATTTTGGGGTTAAAGTGTTGTCTCATTATAATTAGTGATTTGAACTTATGCAATATATTATAATTCTACGGTCTATAACTAATAAATAGCATTAAGGCTTAAAGTTATTATATGATTAGCCTATTGCACTAATTAAATCATCATCCATTGGTCATTCAACTTTTGCTCTGCTGAAATTTTAGTGAAATTCTATATATATATATCTTTTTATTTAATAGTGTACAAGCTCCCCTACTATTTAATACTTAATTTTTATATCATTTTTTATAGGAGTTCTAGAAATTTTCAGAAGCTGGCGCGAAACCGACCCCAACTCTTACAAGGATGCCTTTGCATCTCTCTGCATTCCAAAAATTATACTGCCCTTTGTGCATTTAGAGGTTTTATTATGGACGCCATTGGAGGTTTCATACTTTGCACGTTTTTTTTATTCGTTCATACTTTCGTTATCTTATTATATATCCTTCTCACTAAATTTATGTTTACTCCGGCTGTGTCGCTTTATTTTTTGTATTAATTTGTTTTATCTTTTTTCTAATCATTAATGTATTCTACATAAATATTGCTTTATTTATCTACTTATTTATATATTTTTATTATTTGTTTTATTCTTATAATTTTTATCATTTATTTATAATTATTTTTATTTATTACTATTATATATACTTACAAATTTAGATTTATATTATTACTCGTATAATTTTTCATTATAATTTTTATTTATTATACTTTTATTATTCTCTGTTTTATATAAACATTTTTCATTTTTATATTATTTCTACTTTATTAGTTAGTCCTAAAAGTTTTTTATATATTTGTAAAAGTTGAATTCTACACCGCTTGAAAGCATGAATTGGTTCGAATTACTTTTAAAGTACGGAGATCCAATAAATGGTTATCATTTTTATTAAACTTTTGTTCTATAACAAAATATTTACTCTACTTAAAAACTTTTTAATAATAAGCAATTATAAAAGCTTTTTTATTATAAATAAGAAATATAAAAAAATAATTAAACTTATATAGAATTTTTATTATATAAAAACTACTAATACGTAAGATTAAATTATTTTCTATTAAATTTATATTTTTAAGATGCAAACTTTATATTAATCAATAATAATTTTCTTTCATAATATTACATTAAATAATAATTTTCACTATAAGCAGTAAAACTTTTGATGTTAATAATGAAAATTACTACTCTAAACCTATTATTTTTTTTATTTTTATTATATTTTATTAACTTGTACATTATTTAAGGCAGCAAACTTTGCATAAAACTTTTTTTGATTAATATTTTATAATATTATTTACCATTATATTTTATCATTTAACTTTATCGTGAGTAATAAGTAGCAATTTTTTTTATATTCGAATTTATTTATATATGAAAGTAGCTAACTGTTTTCCGAATAGTTTGCTATACTTTTTCTTATTAAATATAACTATTTATTAACTTAAATATTTTATTATAGCAGAAAATATGATTATAATAAGAAAAATAATTTTTTTTAAATTTCTAAAAGGGCCTAACGAATTAGACTTACGGTTGATCCCGCCCGTTTTTGAAAGAGTCATTATTCCAAAGTTGACTGGTATATTTCCATCGTGCGGAATTTTTAAGTTGTTGGGGCGCATGTGTCTAGTGCGCGTGCTTATGATTTATACCATCAATTTTATTATTACTATTATTATTTTTAATTTTATAATCTATATACTTATTAGTGTTATATATATTAAATATACTTTTTATTATTTTCTTTTTTGTCTCATATCTCTCAGGCCTCATTACGCATTCGTGGAATGTGGCTGCATACTTTCAAACTATACGCCTTAAGCGGTTTATCCTTCACGTGAGTACTACTTACGCATTTTTATTAGAGAATCAAGCAATGAAAGTACGTACGATCTTTTTATTTCTGTACGTTATATACTTATTTTACCCCTGATTGGATCGTTTTTACTCATATTTTATTGTATAATAGGTTCTTTCCTCTGCTATTCTTGAAAAATTAAAAAAGTATGTTGAGCATTTTGTATACTTCCCAAAAGTTGAGTTTGCTTCGGCCGTTTCTCTGACGTTAATTACCCGCTCCTTAAAAGTTTTGCATAATTATATAATTTTTAACTTATGAGTTGTGCTTTTTATTTTGGAACTTTTTAATGACTTTACCGAATACTTTTGTTTCTCTTTTTTTATGACCCGTCAAATTAAAAAAATATATCTGGCTGCTTTATCATACATTATACAAGTTTTATTTTCTTTAAGCACTTTAATATTTTTTTAAAGTTATAACCATAAATAATGTTTTTTCTTGCGCCATGCTACGTTCTTTCAAGAGTCGTTAAGCTTATTTACACGCTTAAAAAATAATGAAAATACTTTTTTAGTTTTCGAGTAGGTAATCTTTCATTGGCCTGCTTTTACTCTCACCTCTACCTTCATAACAATTTTTTTACTTGGTTGCAATTATCATGACGGGAGAGTAATAGGTTTCACTGGTAGCGCATAGCAATTAAATGTAATAATTCTAAGGAAAGCGCTTTGTTTAAATGCAGAACAAATACTCCCATATGCTTCCTTAAGTAAAAGGCTGATCAAAGAAAAGCTTATGGTCCTCGTTCATATAATTTGCTCCGATAATTACATCCATACCTATATCAGTCCAACGTGCACCTGAGTTTATTCCAATCACTCAGTACAGTTGTTATGATAAAAAGAGGGAAACACTTTCCAAATTATGCTTTGCTTTCCTCTTTGGGCCTTTTAAACTTTGCATTGAAAAAAAGCGATCCAAAAAGATTCGCTAATGCAGTTTTATTAATAATAAAGGATATACAGTCTAAAGGGCTCTTCAAAAAAAACTTTTAATTTCACTGCAATAAAACCTTTGAATAAAAGATTTATCACGAAAAACGAGCGAAGGGCGAAAAGCTATTGATTGCACACGTAGTACTGCCCAATATATATTGCCAAACTTTTTGCAAAGTTATGAAGTCGTCTACATATTTTCTAGTTAGCTTCTTATTATGTCTAAAAATGTGTTAGGAATATTTCAATTTTACAGATTTCAATAATTTTTTTTAATTTAATAGTTTTATAAGTAGCAAACATAGTTTGTGAACTTTTTAACAATTCTGTTAGTTTATTAAAAAACTTCAGTATAATATATACATATATATAATTTTTAAAAATTTCAATAATTTATTGAAATTAGCCATTCCTTTTGGGCTAAGCTGTTTACTTATAACAATTGCAGTTTGATTATGCATTGTACTATTAATAAAATTCTTTTTATTCATTATAACAAATATTGTTATTAGTATAATACAACATTTGGAACGGCTTAAAATTATTTTAAAACTTTTTTATTTAAATTACTTTGTTTATTTGTTTCAAGCTAAACATTCATCTTTTTACTTATAAGATTTTGAAGAATTGTTTGGAATGGAGCGGAATTTTGCCTATTTTTGCCCTGCAAGACGTTGTGATGGACTCCATAATAAACCCACGTGTGTTACCCTCCTTAAAACTTTGTCCCCCCGCCCTCGCTGTTTATCACGTGCAGCAGGTAACACTCTATCTAACTTTAATTGACCAATAGAGGGTTGTCTATCAATCCTAACCTTTTTTTATTGGTAAAGATCATCTCTGTACTCCCTGCTGAGTGGATAACGGACATATGCTGTTCTCCTCTTTTATATTTTGTGCGAGTTCTTGCGAGGAAGTGCATTCGCCTTCACTTAAAAAATGAAGTGCAAATTTGCATAGAATTATTAAAAGTATTTAAAGATGAAAAGGAGATCGAAAAACTCAATCTCTTATAATTTTATTTTTTTTATATGGAAAAAAAAGGTTAACGCATAAATAAAAGTTGACTAACTTTATTTACTTATTCGTTATTACTAATTCACGATTATTAATATTTATATATGATATGGGCTTATTAACTTTATTATAAAGTGTGCCTCTTTTCTTCTGTTTATAAATAAGTGAATAGTATAAAAAGTTGCTTCATACTAAGGTTAGCTGTATATTAAGCCTTTTTGGTTTCACTAGTAACCTTGAAATTTTAATATATCTACATAAAAGTATTTTTTAATGAAGATCCACTAAACAACTAAAAAAGTTGATAACATTTATTATATGAATACTCCAAAAAAAAAAAAGTTTAAGTATTTATTAGTAAATTTCGTCTTCTAAAAATGGAGCGGCTGGTAATTGGCTCGAATCGATTTCTCTTAAGGCTTGCGTCGTTTCATTACAAACCGCTTAATGTAGTTTTTTAGAAAAAAAATTTTTTACTGCAAAATGAAATGAAATGAACTTTATTTCTACAATTATTACAATTAAAAAAAGTATATTTAGATTAAATTTTTTTAAAAGATTTTTATGTACAAAAAATATTTTAATAAAAAATTTCTACTTTATTGGCGGGACCATTTTTTATAAATTTTAAAATCATTAATTTTTGTTAACATTGCAATTCGTTAGACTTTTGTAAGTAAATTTAAATCATGTTCAATCGCATGAAAAAAAATATTAAAAAATGGAAAAAAAATAAATCTAAATCAAAATATTTACATTTTATAATATTCCTAGCTGGCATATAAAATTTCAAATAAAATAATTATAGGTTTTTTAAAAAAGCTAAAACTTTTTTAATAATTTTTAATAATTATCAAAATATAATATAATATCCTTATATAAACTTGAAAGTAATGTATAATATTTATATATAAAAATAAGAAACTTTTGGCGAGATTTAAATTTGTATAAGTTTTACAATTTTTAAGCAGAAAAACAATTAAAAATCGTAATATAAAATTTAAAAAAATAATAAAGAAAAAAAGTTTCTAAAATCGAAAAGGTTAAAAAAAAAAAAGTAAATAATAAAATATTAAAAAATTCTATAGAAAAAGAATAGAATAAAAAGTATATAATAAGAGCTTATTAATATATAAATACATTATAAAAAGTTTTGCTTTAGAACACTTTTAGATAATTTCAAAATGTTTTTCCAAAAAAGTTTAACTAATAATAACAAAAAGGTAAGAAATAACAAATTTTCTAGTATAAGGTAAAATATGAAAAAAATAGTCAAGAGGATATAGTAAAAATATTAGAAAATACAAAAACTTTTACTAACAACTTGATATAAAATGAAGTAAAAATAACAAAAGATTTTAAAAAACTTTTAAATATTAAAAAAAAAGAAGATAAAAAAGTATTACATGAAGTATAACAACTCTATTAATACTAAGTTCTTCAAATTACAAAAAAAAGTTTAATAGAAATTTTAATTTTTATAAAAATATAAATTTTATAATATTTAAAATTTTCTGTTTATATAAATATAAAAGTCATATTAACTTTAAAAACTCCAAAAAGTTTCTTATAATATTTTATAAAATTATAAAATAATAGTAAAAATAATATAAATTCTTTTTGTTATTAACTTTATAAAAGTACTTAAAAAAATTGTTGTACCAAACTAAATAAAAAAATAAAAAATAAAAATCTGCAACTCGTAAAGAAGTTTAAACCAAAAAGAAAAATAACTTAATTTTCATAAATTAAATATTAATTTTAAAAAGTAATTCCATTTCTGATATATATATATATATATATATATATATAATTAGTTAACTTATTATAGTTTTTATTATAATTGTAATATAAGTTGGTAAACTTTAACTCGTAAATAAAAAATAGTAAAAAACCTTAAAATTATTTCAAAGTTAAAAATATTTCTTTGAAAAAAAGTTATAAGCATTAAAAAAAATTTCACGTACAATAGTAATAAAATATAAACACAATTTGTAAAAGTTGATATTTTAAAGGTAAAAAAAATTATGAAAAAATTAAATAAAATTTTAATATTTTAGTTATTTCTATTATTTTTTCATTATTTTTTATTTTCACTCTTTTATCTATTTACTTGAATTATGTTAACTTTTTGTTATTAATATTTATTTTTTATTTTAATTTTTTATTGAGAAGAAAAGTTTAGGAAGATTTTGTTAATATAAAAATATTATTATAATATTTTAGAATTTAAAAAAAAGGTAGAGATATGAAGAATTCACTGGTAAATTTATTTATATAAAATAGTATAGAATTTTAGAAAATAGAATTAATGTTAAAACTAAATCGTGTAATAAAAAAAAGTTAAAATATTTTACTTGAAATTTTTTTTACTGCAAAGTAGAGAAATAATATAAAAAGGTAAATCTTAATATATATATATATATAAGATTTTATAAAAAGTAAAGTAAGAGGTTCCTTTGATAATTTACAGCGAATTCTTAATAAAATAAACACTTAAATATATATTAGTAAATAAATAACAAAATAATAAAAGATTTATTAGAAATTAGCTTTGTACAAGTAATTAATTTACAAAAAAAAAAATAAAGATGACGAACTTTTGCGGTTAGAATTAAAAATATGATAAAGTATAATATAATATAATATTAATTACAATTACAATTATAAATATAGAAATTATTATTTTTATTAAGTTACAAAATATTAGAATAATATAAATGCAAACAAAAAGTAAAAGCATTAATTAAAGGTTAAAAGAATAGTGTATAGTAATAATAAATATATAATAATTATACTTTACATTAAATTTTTTAAATTGCATTTATTTTAATAATAAAAAATAAATTGAATAGAAATTTCGTAACACAAAAAATTCATACCGTATAGAATAATGGTAATGGTAATATAAGATATAACAAAAATGACAATAACTAATAGTTTATAAAATATCTTAAAACAGTTACTGATATAAATTTAAAAAAGTTAAAAAAATTATTTTTTTACTAATTCTTTAAAGATAACTATAAAATTGTAATCATTCTCATTAAAAAGTATAAAAATTAAATAGAAACGAAAATATAATTAATAATAGAAATCTGTTGAATAATATATTAATTTAGTTTAAAAAAAAACCAGAAATCAAAGAAGCATTAAAAAAAAGGCCGCTGGGTCCACGTGTGCAGGAAAGTGCTGGAATAATGACTCCATTCATAGCAATAAAAACTCCAGAAGAGAGAAGATTGCTCGCCCCTAAATTTAAAGTAAAAATTATATATCAAGTAAACTGTAAATTAAATAAATACTATATAATTTTATAAAATATTCTAGACAGAACTTTAAAAAGATTTACAAAAGGGATTAAGTATTATTAAATTTATAATTAGTTTATAATAAAAAAAGAATCAAAATAAAAAAAGATTACTTACGTTTTTAAGTTAATTAAGATTTAGAAATTAAAATAATTACAGTACATAATTAAAAATAGTATAAAGAAAAGAGCAAATTTATTTAGTCGTTCTCTAGGATTTAAAATTTTTATTAATTAGTTTCCCTAGCAATTATTATATTTTTTTTCAACATTTCATCATGTCCGCTCTACAGAACTTTTATGTTGAACTTTTTTATAAAGAAATTATATAATTTCTTAAATTTCCAGTAAAGAAGTGGTAGAAATTATAGTTGCTCTCAGTCTTGTAATTTAAAAAATATATATAAATAATATAATTTCAAATACTTTAATAGTCTATAATAACTTAAGAAATTAGGCACAAGTTTAGAAATTAAGATATCTTTAGATATATAAATTTTCGTAAAACGTATATACCCACAGCAAGTCCTATATTAAATTCGGCGTCGGAATTTTTAAATTGATGCGGAACAAAAGAGCCAGTCAAGATGATTAACTTGTTCTGCTCCAATTCAGACTCGAGTGCCAAAAATTGAGCAGTTTTTATTAATGTTTCAGTTCCGTGGGTTACAATAATTTTCATTTCGGGAGCAGCAAGACAAGAATTTTTTAGAGAATTAAGATCGTCTTGTGTGAAATTGGAGTCGTCTCTCTTACAAACTAATAAAAAGTAGTACACTCAAGACTAATGTTATAAAACATTTGAAATTATTTTTTTTTAATTGTGATAATTTATTAAAATAAAAAATTTTATGCTAAGCACAAATGGTAATCAGAGTGAGAAAATATTTTTACCAAATGCTTTAATTTATATATTTAATAAATTTTTCAAATCTCTGTTTTAATAAATCTAAATTAATGTGTAAAACTAAACATAATTTTCTAGTAACTTACTAACTGCGTTGGAAATTCTTCTTAACATCACTTTTTTATGCTTTAATAAAAAATTTCAAGCTTTATAAAATCGTCTTTATTTAAATATTCTTAAGTGCAGTTCTTTTCTTCTTAATAAAACACTTTAATAAATAGATTAAAAAAATTTAAATCCAACGAACCCGAATTTTTCAAAACAATGCGCAAAACTAAATTTATTTAATTATTGACAAAGTTCTAATTTTTTTTAATTAACAAAAAAAAATTATAACTTTTTAAAAGCAAATATTATAAACTTGTGAAGCCTAAAGTTTACGTAAATAATAAACACTTGTATGAATTAAATCTTTAACTACCAACAATCTTAAAAAAAACAAAATATCAAAATACATTTAAACTTTTCCTTTTCAACTTTTAATTAAAATTTTAACTTTAATATTTTTATAAAGTTCGCGTGGTCCAAATTATTTTTTTTTAAAAAAAGAGATTTTGTAGATTTCTACTACCCTTGCTTATAATACCCTTTATGAAATTAAACAACTTAAATAACTAGAAAGCAGTAGTATAACTTCACTGCTACTAATTACTATTATTTTTTTCTCAGTAAATAAAAATGTTTGAATCTATATTTAAAAATAATTTTATTAAAAATTTTAGAAAAAAAAATTAAATTTACCAGTAACCAGCCTGTGTTTAACGGTAAGTTTTAATTTAGAAAAGATTTTAGAGATGGCAGGATGAGAGACTGTAAGGCCCCGTCGATTAGGAGATGTTGAGTATATTTTATCGATGGTTCCTCCTACAGATTTATATATAAAAGTTAGTATAAGAATTTAAAACTTTATAAGATTTATATATAAAGTTGAAAATAAAAAAAATAAATTGAAAAATATGTAAGAAAAGTTTAATGCATTAAAATTCAAATAAAAATTTTCCCGCTTATTGTAAATTTAAAATAAAATCAATAGATTAATTCAATAGAAATTTTTTTAGTTTACTGCTATATTTACCTCTACGTAACTTTTTTTCAATATTTTATTTAAGAACATTTACTGCTAAAAAATAAAATTTCTAGTAAAAAAATTTATAGTTTTAAAATTTGTTACTATATCTAAACTTTTCTACTTTTATAAAAAATTAAATCAATGCACAACAGATTAAAAACAAACCGGTTTGAATTAATAATAACTCCAAGACATGATTATAGACGGAAGACGAAACTTCTCCAAAAGAATGCAAAAAAGATTCAGATCCTTGAAAAGTTTCAAGAGGCTTGTGTGCTAATTTTAATTAGTCTTAAAAATTATAAAAAAGCATATATAACGTAATCTACTCTAAATTAATTTTTTAATCAGCTAAATTTTAGCGTGTTATTTTTTAATCAGATCTAAAAAAAAACTTTACAAATAAATTTTAAAACTTAGGTAAGCAAGAAAATCTTGAAAGTTGAGGAAAAAAGTGGAGAAAAAAAACAATCAATTTATTATAAAGTTTACTATAAAAATACAACGCCCAAAATTATCCCAACTTATTTTAAGCTAAAAAGAAATTAAAGAAGTTAATAGAAACATTGAATAATCAATAAATTAATGTAAAAGCTAATATTTGGTAGGTAACAAACCAATTGTAGGGTCTAAGATTGGTAAAACATTAGCGTGTCTCCGCTGAAGGTGCCTTAGTAAGTGAGTGGTAGTACCCTGCTTACCTATTTTATATATATTACTTATTAGCAAGTAAAAAAAATATAGATATCTGTACCCCTTACGAGCTCTATGTGGCAATGCGAGCAGATAATTCGGGTTTCATCTCCTTCTTTAATACTGAAATGAGCCCAGACTGCAGATCTTTTATTACCCATTGACAAACTTTATCTAAATTAGCTTTACCAAATATTAATTTATTAAACTAGCGAAACAAAAGAAGCTAAAAAAATCTTTATTACACTTAAAAGCTGGCCATTTCTTAAAATACTATAATTTAACCAAAAATAGAAAAGATTTAACGGCCCATTTTAGAAATTTATAATTACATCTTTAATGCAAATGCACAGAAAATAAAAGAAGAACATCCCAAGAAAAAAAAGAGGAAAAAAGAGAAGACTTTACAGTGTAAACTTATGTATATAATATGAAGTTCCGAAATCTGCTTATCGAACCGAACAAAATAGACGTAAAACGTTCGAAATTTGCACCTCTCGCTTATGGCCTGCAGGTGCTCTTAAAAACTCGTTTTTTTTTTTTTCAGCAAAGCCGTCAGTCTGCTCTGCTGCAGCGTTGATTTTTTAACCTGTTCATTGTAATAAATAAGCCGTTTATAATTAAAATAAATATTTTGAGTGTGCTGTTGTACTCTATCATCGATGATTTTTTAGGTGAGGCTTCACGTTCTCTGCTTATAAAATAACGTCTTCACATCCTTAAAATCTGCCAAGATTAATATTAATTAATAACTTATGTATAAGGCCATAGCCAACAGATCTTTTATATTTATAATATCATAGCCACGATTGTATTAATAAAAGTAGGACCTAATTTTTTTTTTGGTGAGCAGAAGCGAAAGTTTTAGTAACCTTAAGAAAACTAAGTTTAACTTGCCGGAAGGCGAAAAGCTAATAAATAATTCTTGAAAGATTTTTTATACTAATTGCGAAAAGGTGGTTTCCATAGGGCTCGTGATATTGCGTCGCTTACGAGAGCACTAAGACGGTAAAGCCCAGTATAGTAAACTTTTAGGAAGGTTGTACAAGTATTACAAGTTACAATACCATTAAAATTTACTGGATTAAACTCAAATAAACCTTCTTGTTAAGGACAAAATAAACCGTATACGGCAGATCAGTTTTGCTTATGCGTTTAGTAATAATTATATACGGTTTAAAGCTAGGCAAAAACTAATTAAAACTTATTTTTGTTAAATCAAACAGTTAGCAAATAGCTCTCAGATTCATCTCAAAAGGTTAATTATTAACCCGTACAAGTTGCTTTGAATCTTTTATTAGTCAAAATGTGACCTCTCAGATAATTTCGGTTTACTTATCAAAAGAAAAAGTCACTCAAATTTACCTTACATAAGAATACTTAAAAACAGTTGCCATAATAGCAAATTTTCGCTGTGCATCTGTTTACCGAAAAACAAACTAATTTATGAATTAAGTACCAATCTTTACAATAAATTCAATTCTGAAGTATAATAATTTATGAAACTATCAGAAAAGTTATAAAACTAACAACCGATTATGCAAACATTATGCTTCATAAAAACCTTTAGATTTTTTATTTCTACGTTTGTTATATTGAGAATTTTGTGTACTTCAGAGTAATTGCAGTAGACTTTTTATGTTTCAATTTGAAAATTTTTATTATTACAACCTGTACAATATTAACACTTTTCTAAAAATTACTTTTCAAAAGCCTAAGCAAATTTCAGTTAAATAATTAAAATAGAATGGAGTTTATATACTATAAAAAAAACTGTATCAAAAGGAATCCTTTAAAAAGAGAGGTTTAAAAATTATTTTAAATTTATTTAAATTATCTTTATAATAAATTTAGTGTTTTTATTGTTATTAGTTTTATAAAAGTTGTTTTTTATCTATATTTTAGTTTACGTTATGCCGTAAAAATATTGAAATGCAAAAATGAAGCTAAAGTTGATATTAATAAAAAAAACTGTTTGTAGTAAAATAACTATCAAATCTAGAAATTATTCAAATAGTTACTTTAGTTGAAAACTATTAATCGAAATATCTAATAATAAACACTAAACAGTAAAGATGTAACTGTTTAATACCAATAGTTTATAATACAATACACTAAATCACATCCGGGCTCAAAATAAAAACTTTGTTACAAATATAATTAAATTTATTAAAAATAAAAAGATCCTATACATCATGAGCAAGTTTTAAACCATCCATTTGAGAACTGATCTAAAAAAAAATTAAAAAAGATTATTCCTCGAATTAGTAATTTAGGGCCTTACAGATATACAGATATATTTAAATAAAATCAAAATCAAGATAGCTAATTTTTATTACTAAATAAAAAGAAAAGCAAAATCTTTTCCAATCTGTAATCTTTTAATATAGAACCACTGACTTAGCAATAAAATCTATTTTTACAATAACTAATGTAACGTTCTACTTTAATTAAAATCGCTTTCAAAGTAGACTATACTTGAAATTAACTATAAAAAGAACACTAACTACAAGGAAAACTAAATTAAATTTGGTAATAACAATTATTTAAGTAAAATTTAGGCAAAAGAATCACCAAATTAACAAAAACCAGTTTTTATATAAATTTACTTTAAATATCAACAAAGAATTTAATTGAGTCAACTCAAAATTAATAAGTGATTTAATAATATTAAATTTGTTAAACAGTTCAGTTAATTAACTTTTAATAAGTCGATCTCCAGATAAAACTAATAAGTTGAAAAATAAATATAAATTTTCAAATTATAAATTAGAAATTAATTTGTGTTTATAAATTAAACAACTTTTTAGTTAATAAAAAAGATTTTAAAAAAATTTTTTTTAATAAACTTTCAAACCAAATTTAAATTACACTTTATTGTAATAAGAGTTTTTTATTATAATCTACTTCATTATTATTAATATTAGCTTTAGATTAAGCAAAAATAAATCAAATTTTTTAAAATGAATGTTTACTTATTTAAAATAAAAAATAAACACATCTCGAGCTAAAACTAGAATATAAATTTTTAAAAAACTTTCAAGACATTTATAGTAAACTTAATAAAATTTTTAATTCCCGTAGATTTTAAAAAAAAATTTCAACTTGATCTCAAACCAAAATATAAAAATTTAAATTAATTTTAAAACTTTATAAAAAAGTTTTAATTCACGTAAACTATAACATAAAAGTGAATTGAATAAAAATTTTTAACAATTATTAATGAATATTAATAAAAATGTGTTAGTAATAAGTAAAAGTTATATCATAACATAATAAATAATAATTATAGCAAAGAAATAATATTCTATTAATAATAAATATATTTTAATTAATAAATAAATAGTAAATAAAAAATAATAATATATAAATAAATAAATAAATAAAATTTATTAACAATAATATTAATAAAAAACTTATACACTAATAATAATAACTAATCATAATAACAATAAAAAATATATAATTGATTAAAAATAATAATATATAAACAAATTATAAATAGAAGATGAATAACAAAAATATATATAAAAAATAATAATAAATGATAAATATTAATAAAAAATAAAAAATACATGAAAAAGTAATAATAATATATAAACAAATAATAAATCTATGATCATAAATGTAAATAAATAATAAATTTAAAATAAATAAGGAGTAATAATAAAAAATAACTATTAAACAAAGAATGAAATTAATAAGTAAATAAATAATAAATATAATAATAAATTATTTAATAAATTAATACGAACTTCTTCAATACTATTGAGGAGTTGCCCGGCGTTGCGGTCGATCCACTGCAACGACGACATGTGATGGTTCAATATTTTCACAATTTGACTAACCTTGAAAAAAAATAATCATAATTGCTTATGCTTATCAAAAAATATATAAAAGTTCACAAAAGTTTTTTTTGTAAAATAAAGTTTTTCAAAAAAGTTTACAAAAAGTATATTTTATATATATATATAAGTTGGTGTAAAAAAGATTATTTTACGAAAGCAAAATAATTTTTTTTAGTATTCTAAAGTTTATTAGTTACAATATTTTATTATTTATAGTTTATAAAGTTTTCAGTGTAATATTTTATATATAATAATATCCATGACTATAATAAAGGTATTTGTTTGTATGTGTTTTATTATTATTAAAACTTTTACCATGCACTTTTATTATGTTTGCTGTACTTTTTTTAAAATGTTTACGTGAAAAGTGTGTAAATTTTAAAATTGTAATAAAGAAAAGCTAATTATCTATAAGATAAATATATGTTAAAAAAAATTTTGTATTAAATAGTAAAATTAAAATTTTTATTATAAAAATAAATAAAAACTCATTTTACATATGTTTGGTAAAATATATAATAAATATTTGAAATAAAAGTTTAATAATAGCTTATAAAATATTTGTTTATTTTCATTTATAATTTATGCAAAAATATATAACGAAAAAATATAAAAAATTATGTAGTAAACGTTATTTTTTTATTTTATCTACAAAATACTTAAAAAATATGTAAAGTTTTTAAAATTTATTTATATTAAAGTTTCATATTTTTCTAAAAATTCATTAAAAGTTTGGAAAGTAAGTAGTATTTACTTTTATTTAAAATATGCATATGATAATATTTTAATATAATAAATAGTTATAAACTCTTTTGATAAAAATAAATATGAAAATATATTGGAAAGCGCTTATATATAGAAAATAATAAACTTTTGATAAAAATGTTTTTTTATTAATATATAATAAATGTAAAATAAACTATTTAAATGAATATATTTATTTTATGATTAAATACTTTATATACACTCATTTTCTATAAAAAAACAACACCAAAACTTTTTGATAAAAAAAATAATAAAAAACTGGATCTTCTGGATCTGCTCCCCTTAAAACTGCTCTGTTCAAGTCGCTAATGAGCTCTTTTAGTTCTTCTTCCAAATTAGTTAACTATAATAATAAGTAAAAAAGTTACGATAAATATATGATTTGCATTTTATATTAAAATTTATATATATATTAAATAATAATAATAAATATGAATGTATTAATAATTATTAAATAATAATAAAAAAAGGAATTATAATATAAACACAAATTTAATTTATTTATGTAAAAAAATTATAATAGCGTTTGTAATAGTAATAAATACTATGACTTATTTCTAAATAATAAAAATAGATAGTACAACTCACATTACAATAATAAGTAATATGAGAGAAGAACTCTACAGTAATAAATGTATTATTAATATAAAGTAATATTGAAAATTGCAAATTGTTAAATATAAAAAATATATAAAAAACTAAATATAAAAGATTGACTAGCCATCAATAATCTATAAATAGTAAAGAGAATAAATTTATATATAGCTTAATATATATTGAATATAATAATGTAAACAATAAAAATATAGATAATAATAATAATAAAGACTCTCTTATTGGACTGAACAGCGAGACTATACAATCTCCTTCGCTTTTGATCGGCGCTGCCCAATAAGTTCATGTTATTAAAGTTTTTATGTGTGGATAAACTGTTTTCTATTTGGCTCAGCACGCCGTCAAGATCATCCTACAAGCAAAAAAAAGTATATACTATAACTTTTATATAAAAATAAATAAATTTATAAATTATTATTTATGTATATACTTTTTAACATTTCTGAATTTTAGTATTATTTTTATTATTATTAAAAGTTAAAATTTTATTTATTTATTTAATAACTTGCTGGGACATAACAAACTCTATTTTACTGTCCAGAAGCTTTTGCTGTTCTAATAAGTCATCCACTTGACGGTTGAGAGTTACAATCTTCACCAAATTTTAATTAATGATAAAAAAAAAGCAATAAACACACTCGCATAAAGTAAGAAATAATAAGATTTCATATTATTATACAAAATACTTGAATTTTTTAAAAAAATAAAAGGGAAAAGTATAAAAGATTTAAAACTTTTTCATAATTTTCGTGAGTTTGGCGATCAATTCCTTCTATTTCCACTGCCTGTTCAATAAACTTTTGTATATTCACCTAAAATAAAGTTATTATTATTATAATGTTTAATATTTGTTAACACAAACTTCTGTTGTCTGCTTCCACTCATTTAACACCGATTCAATCTTTCTCTCATCAAGTTTTTCTGTTTCAAAAAAAAATTTATAAAATATCAATAAAAATTATTGAAATAAACACACTGGCCATTTCCTCCATTTTTTTTTTTATTTGTTCACTGGCTTGAACGCCAGCTGGAATAGTAAGAGAAGACGCACTGGAAGTGGTCGGCGGTGGAGCTGAAGATGCTTCACTTTTAGAAAAAGTATTGAAACTTGTGGCAGGCTTGAGTTTGTCTCCGGAAGAAGAATCTCCAGGAAAAGCCCGTGTAGTCGCCGTCGAAAGCTCAAAGGATGAAGTGGGTTTCTCAGTAGTCTCTACTGATGATTTACTATTTTCTTGACTAGCACCGCTAGCAGTGCTGGGAAGGTTAAAGGTTGTTGCAGAAGTCTGTGCATCTTTGCTTTGCAGAGAAGCAAGAGTACTTGGCTCAGAGGGAATTATATTCGCCGCTAAAGATGTAGTCTTCTTATCATCTGTTCCGCTTATAGAAGTTTGGCTCCCAAAAGAAAAATTTCCAGAGCCTGTAGAAGATTGTCCAGAATTAATTGTTTTATTATCAGCAGAGCTGGGAAAGCCAAATGAAGGCACAGAACTTTGAATGGAAGTAGAAGGCGCTTCATTGTTTTTTTTTTCCTTCATTGATTGAGAAACAATAGACTCGGTTTCTTGAGAGGAAGTATTCTTGAGGTTTGTAGTGACGGTAGGCTGATTACTTCCGAAAGAAAAGGCGTTAGAAATAGTGGAAGCATTTTTAAAATCGTTAGAAGGCTTAACAATGTCTTTTGAGGTAGAAAAGGTAAAATTGGGAGCAGGATTTTGGGAGCTCAAAGAAAAATTAGATTTTAGTTGGAGATTCTCACTACCCGTTTGAGAGGCAGTGATACCTGTACCTGGTGTGGTGGAATCCTTAACCTTCGTGTCAGTAGTAACCGGATTACTCCCAAAAGAAAAATTACCGGTCAAAGTCGAAGATTGTTCATAACTAAAAGGTTTAGTTCCACTTTCTGAAGTACTGGAAGAGCTACTTCCCAGTGCTTTTTCGGAATTCAAAGCAGTAGGAACCGAGCCAAATCCAGAAGACTGATAACTTATATTTTCTTTCGAAAAGGGAAGATTGCCTGCAGTTGTTCCGGTTGGAACATCTGTAGTTTTCGCAGTAGCAAATATATTGTTAACTCTATCTTGTGTGTCGGTGTTCAGAGGATTAATATTAGACTTGGAATTAGCCCCGACACTCTTAGTGTCAGCCGTTCCGGTCTCAAAAGAAAAATTATTATTTAAAGTTTTAGTAGAACCAAAAAAAAAATTCCCTGAAGCTGTAAAATTAGAATTAGCAGCTGAAGAAACATTTTTAGTTTCAAGCGGGTTTGATTCAACAGAAGAAACGTTAACTTCCTTAGTAGAACCTATATTTTGAGAACTAACCTTTCCAGCTCCGAAAGAAAATGGATTCTGAAAAGTGGAAGTTTTATCTAAAGAGAACGAAGTAACTCCTGAGGAGGGTAAGTTTGACGTTTTTTTGTCTTCTGCAATTATAGTTTTATCGGTTGATAAGGTTGGAAGCCCTTTGGATTGAAAAGAACTTGTTGTGCCCGAAAAATTTAAATTTTTTCCAAATGTTAAGTCGCTTTGAAATATTGAGGATTTTTCTGTGTTAGTACCAAGAGAAGTGTTCAAGCCTCCACTAGTAGTTCCGAATTCTGACGAATTACCAAAAGAAAATGATTTGTTTTCACCAGATTTTTCATTGTTCTGAGTAGTTATTAGGGAAGCACCAAATATTGTATTGCCTCCAAAAGTACTAGGACCCACTCCAAAACCAGAAAAACCAGATGTTTGAGAAGGTGCAGCCGAAGTAGGATTCTCTGCGGCCTGACCAAATTTTAAAGCATTTGTTTGAAAGCTTGAACTAAAAGGATTACTCCCCGTGTTAGTATTTTCGGATTTTGAATCAGTAGTTATTGTTCCACCGAAATCTTGAAACGAAGACGCCATTAATATTTTATGAAATAAATTAAAATATAATATATATTTTATAAGTTATTAACAATAAAAGTTTTAGATATTTATAGTATACAATTAAGCCTTTTACTTACTTGTAAAAGACATACTGAAAGGGAGATAATGTATGTATCAATAAAAACTGAACGAGAGATATTCACAATCCTCAAAGCAACTAACGCAATCTATAAACTAGTAACACGCAATGCGGAACAGCCTATTCTTTTCTACGGGGTTCGGCCCCTGACTGCCACAAGTTTCTGAGTAAAAACGTTTCTTAGTAGAAATTCATTAAATTATTAAGTTTGTAATTCTAATAAAGCCCAATTATAAGCTGTAATGGGGGCTTGTCCTAACGAAACTATTTTATAAATAGCGGTTTTAATGTAAGCGATGTGCTCACTAAAAATTTATCTTTCTTTTAAAGTAAAACTGGCTATTAAACAATTATCTTTTTGGTCTGGAGAAATTAAAGTACGATGAGCCTAAATTTATCTAGCTTCTTAATTCTTAAAAAAATCGCATTACTTCACTATGAAAATGGTGTTATTACCAGTACTAATATTATTCTTACTTAGAGAAAAAGCAAACATGCCTTCAGGAGAGAAGAAGGGCAATATTTATTATAACATAATGAAAACGTAGCCATAATAAGTTACATATTTAAAGGGTTATAAACTAATTTACCTTAATAAACAGTATGTTCACATAACGCTTACATCAAAATTTATATTTGTAAGAGAGCTATAAAGATTTTATATATAGTTATGACTAAAACTATTTGCTTAAAGTTAGTAAGTAAGAGATTTATACCTTATTTATAAAATTGTGGGAGCTATGTACCACTATGAGGCACGCTTGAGAATCCAATACTTTGAGGGCAAGGTTCACTTTTTAAAAGGCAGACATGTTCATGGAACTCTCTAGAGGTTCCCAAAAGAAAAAACTTCACTATCGAGCTTACACAGGAATCAATACCTGGACATTCTGGAATTTAGAGGATTTAAAAAAAAACGAAAGGGCCGGGTCATCTTAGTTCAGTGCTATTGAGAGACTTGAACAACTAATTAGTCGTTAAAATGACAAGCGCCAGTGCATCCTTTTCAACGCATTGATCACAAAAAACGCTGGTTGATATAATGTTTCTTATTACAATTATATTTTCCTGTTATATATTTTCAGATATTTTTTACATGTTCTGGTGTAGGTTTGCTATTATTTTTTTTTTATATACTTGCACTTTATTTTTGTTTGATTATCAATTGTTAAAATAACCACCAATCATGGCGTCTTATAAACTCCGTTGAACCATTAATTAACAGTACTGCATCAATTCACCACGAAAATAAAAGCCCAATGGTTTCAATAGTAGAGACTTGGTGGTTTTACTTAAAGGTTTTTACCAAAGAAAATAATTTTAATAATCTAATTAATCAAAATCAGGTGTATTAACTACTTATAATAAGCTAGGTCATAGAGTGTAGTCACCTTTTTTTGTTGTTTTGTTTTACCTTACAGTGTAAGTGCATATAACGGCTCCTAAGCATATAAGCTGTTGAATCGTTTCTTCTAAGGCCATAGATAACTCAGGCTTAAATATTTCACAGTAATGTTTCACTAGGATACTCGTACTCTCACACTCTCCGAGTTTTTTTTTTTTTGTAACAAAACTTAGTGGTGTAATTGAATAAGTCTAGCCGGCAGCCTCTACTAATGATCTTTTAGCGGAGTTTTTCTGCCCTGCAAGGCCAATTGATAGAGGTCCTTGCGCATAATTTTTTACGTAGTTCTACTAATTATTAAATAAAAGAATTAAAAAATAGTTGTACATAATAATATATAACCATTCTTTGGCTACCGTAGTTATGGCAGTTCATACCGTAATTTTTATATCTATAAAATACGGTAGATGAATTTAAAAATTGCATTAAAAATTATATAAAAGATCCTCGCTTCCTCACTCTGCGTACTTTAAGCTTTAATATACTTTTTAGTCAATTTATAAATTGTTAGGCTTTAAAGTATACCGTCAAGGCATTTCCTCAAAAATACAAAATTTCCTTTCCTGGTTAGTAGCGTCACGTTTTTGAAGCATAAGCGCTTAGGATAAATTTACGGTCAAAACCAATTGCTGAAAGCCTTCTTAAATAACATACTTGATTGAGCATCAACTATAGATCAAAATACGGAGAAAAAATATATATAAATTTTTTGAAAGAGCTAAGAGCTTGACGTCAGCGAGTCTCTACCGCTTTGCGTTGTTTAAGAGTTCTGTTGCCGCTATGACCTCTTCCTTGGACCACTTAAGAAAGCATACTAACATTGTTGCGGACACCTCAGATATATCAAGTATTGTCCTTTATTATCCAGCTATCCTTTTACTAATCAAAATTATTAACTATTAATATAATAGCCATTAGCAAGTTTAAACCTTCGGAAGCTACTACCAACCCCAGCTTAATTTTGTCTTCTGCTAAAATTGATTCGTATAGACACTTCCTTTACGAAGCTGCTACACTTTCAAAACAAAAGTTTGATTCCACCTCTGAACAACTAGAGGAAGCTTTAGACTTCCTGACTGTGCGTTTTGGTTGTGAGCTTCTCAAGGTTTTTAGGCGTTGCGACTATAATTTGATTCAAAGTTGTTTATATCGTAGCAAGGTTGTCCCCGGCCGAGTGAGCACCGAAGTGGATGCTTCGTTATCTTACGATACTGAAGCTTCCATTAAAAAAGCTAAGAAGTTAATATCTTTATATGAATCACTTGGTTTTTCCAGAACTCGTGTCCTTATTAAACTGGCAGCCACCTGGGAAGGTTTTTATAATTTATTTTTTCTTTAATTATAAATTTGTTTATAGTTACTTATCTAAAAGGCATTCAAGCCGCCCAAATTCTGGAGAATGAAGGCATTTGTTGCAATATGACTTTGATTTTTAATTTTGTTCAAGCCGTTGCATGTGCAGAGGCTGGAGTAACTTTAATTTCACCTTTTGTCGGTCGAATTTATGACTGGGTTGGTGTCAATTCATAATTTTTAATTTTCATTTATCACGGTTATAAACATTTTGTAAGTTATTATGTAATTTAATACCATCTATTATTATAAAACAATTTTCAGAAGCACTTTTGTTAATTTTTTTTAATAAGCTTTTCTACTTTATTTATAGATTTTAACGTTTTCTCCTCTTAATAATTTTACCTTTGAGTTATTTTTGTTCCTATTTAATGAAAGATTTATAATTTTTTTTTTAAATAGTGAGCTTAAGATAACTTAGAACACAAATTTTATAGTTCATCTTGCTAAAATTTTTAAACTTTCTATAATATAGTCTCAGACTAAAAGTACTGTAAAATTACTGTTTCTTTAATATGTAATCAATTATAAATAATAATTAACTTTATTAAATTTCTTTCATATTCTTGTCACGCATGCTTTTTTTAAAAAGTATTTTTACCGACATTGAAGATCTTACTCTGCGTTCGTTTATATTTAGTTTCATTTTTATAGTAAATATTATACATATTTATTATTTTTATACTAATATTTATAAAGTTTTGTAAAATCTATAGTAAGTTTATCTATAGTTAAAACTTTTTGCTTTGTTATATCTTTCATATCTAAATAATAGTACAAAGAAAAGGATGGCATTTCCTACTATTCTCCTCTTGAAGACCCGGGAGTTCGATTTGTTACCAAAATATATAACTATTTTAAAAAATTTGGTTTTATTATTTATTAAAATTATTGTTATTAACTTTATTTTTATTCTTATTACCATTATTATTATTATTATTATTATTATTATTATTATTATTATTATTATTATTATTATTATTATTATAAAATAACCAATAAACTAAACTTATCAGGTTTTTTAACCAGTGTCATGGGCGCCTCATTTCGAAACACCAATCAAATCGAAGGATTAGTTGGCTGTGATTTTCTTACGATTAGCCCAACGCTACTGGAAAAGTTGCATGCTAGTAATAAAGACCTTCTCCCTGCTCTTTCTAGTGGCTCTTCTAATTCTACGCCTCTTGAAAAAGTGCTCCTATTATTATAATTATCACATCTTCTTTATTACTTATAATAATAAATAAAAGTTTTATTATAAGTCTTTTATTATTATTAATTTTAAAAAAACTCTGAATGCATATTAAAATGTTTACTTTTATATTTTAATAGCTTATTTTTATATTATATAATTTTAATTTTTTATAATTTTCCAAATTAATATGATATATATAAAAAATATTATCATAAGTAAAATGCATTTACTTTTATTACGTTAGAAGTTTGTTGGAAATTGTATAGGGTGGCTAAGGTTTTTCGTTAGAAATTTTAAATTTAATTTGAATCTTTATAATATAATTAAGATATAAAGCCAGCAATTTTGAATATATTGTACTTTTTAGTAAAAAAAGCTTTGATAATGTTAAATAATTAGATAAATTCCTTTTCTTTTAATTTTTTGTGTATAATAATTAATAACTTTACTAAAAATTTGGATGCTTGAAAATATATTAATTTATAATTATTAAGTCTTCTAAACGTATTGCAGTTATTAAAAGAGTAAATCATTCAGATTTATATAATTTATACATATCTTGCTAATAACGATAAACTAATCTTTAGAATTTCAAACTACTTTTTCGTTTGATTAGTAAAGTAAGCAACTAACTTATATTTTTTTGGCCAGGTTGAAAAAGTCACCGAATCTTATTTTCGTGGGTGTTTGCAGCGAGATGAGATGGCCTCTTTTAAATTGAAAGAAGGTTTTTATAAAAGTTCCTTTAATTATTTGAAAAAGTGTTTTATGCATTAATGGTTATCTATTAATGGTTATTCGATTAATTATGCAACTACATTTGTTTAGGCATACATAAGTTTATTGAAGACACTGAAAAGTTGAAGGCAATTATTAAAGAAGTTTTACTTAAATAAATAAAATTTTTGCAACTTTAAAATTTTTTTTAATAATTTAAAACTTGAATAAAAAATTTCCAACTGAAGCAAAACTAGGAAATTATCAAGTTACTCGGTTTACTTGATTAACCCTTATCCATGTCCGGGCCTCATACTTAATTGTTTAGTAAAAATCTTGTAGATTGCTTTGCTGATACACCATAAAGCTGGAGGTGAGTACACATGCCATTATACCATTTTTTTTGTTAGGTTTACCAGTGGCGTGTCAACGAAAACTTATATACATAATGAACATGAAAAAGAGGCAGATAGCACATTGAGGATCATGAAGTTATACAAACAGAAGCAGGAAAAGAAAACCTTAAAAAAACAAATAGTGTTTTAATACTTAGAAAGAACTTGTTTGCCGCTACGAAAAGACTGTGAAATATCTCTAGCCGTCACCAGCAAAACCTTAGCTACACTTCGTAAAAGCAAATAAATGAAGAATGTAATCGATTTTTTGTACTTAAAAAACATGTATCTTCAGTGAAAAGTAGTATCTTGTTTACATAATATGCTTCTTCTCATAACCCCTTAATATTTAATTTTATCGTTAACGATACAATAATTTTGATGCACCTCGTTGGGAATCATGTTCTTTCTTAAGCCTTTAAATTTTTTTGCAATATTCCACTTTTTAATGTTTAAAGTGATTTTCAAACTTAAAACTGAAAGAAATTAATATTTTAATTTTCTTTTCTTTGGTTTAAACACGTGGTTAATCCATTTCTCTCCGTAATACTAATTTTTCGTATTCTGCCGACCAGTGAACAAGATTTTACCTGACTATTTGCGTTTGGTAATAATTTATTGACAATCATTAATCTCGCTTGTTATTGCTATCCTAAGTTTGGCGGTCTTTTAGTTTGTGTTTTTGTGTCAACTTAAATTTTTATATTATTCATATATGAAATAAAGCAGATGAAATGTACTTTATGGCTTGCTGTCACCTAACGACTATATATAAAAATAATTATTGAAAACCCACATGCTTATTATGTGCTCTTTTTTTTTAAAAAAAAAAGTGTATAACAAAAATGTTAAATTAAGAATAAACATAAAATATATCGAGTTGTAAATTTAAGATTAATGCAAGGAGAACGCTTGCCAGTTTTAAAACTCTTGCCCCTAGTAAACCACTAAAATATTACAGTTATTTTGGCTAATGTATGTAATGTGAGGGTTATTCGCCGAAGGTTTTGGAAATTAAAAGCGAGTTGACACGCGTTGGCAATCTTTTTTTTTATATCGTATTAGCTCTCCCATAGTTTGAAGTGTCAAGGCTCTCGAGAGAGTTAAGGATTGTCGAATAAACTACCACAGTTTTTTTAGTTCTTAAACTTTCCTTTATTATACACTTTTAATGATATACTGGTTTTTTTAAATTATAGCCAATCAACGCCAAATAAAATTCAGTATAAAAAATAAGGAGTTCTTTCTAAATCTATATAAAGTAGCTTAAGTGCTTAAAGCCGAGCAAATCTTTTTCAAATCATTAGTCTCGATATATACTTCTCTGCTTATTAATAACAAATGCCTTTATATTGTGACGGGCGCGTCGCGTCTACTACCTCCCTAGCACTTAAAAATTTCTTTGCCTCTTCTACGTTGAATTATGTATCAGTAATGTGCTATCTCGCTCCTTTTCCTAAGTTCTGTTAATTCTCAGCTTTTGAGATTTGCTTTAGTTTCTACTTAGTGTTAGCCTTAACTTTTCCCTTACCTTAGTTTTGTTCTCCTACTTTTTATTTTAAAAAAATTCCGTTCTATTTTTTTTTAAATAGTAAATTGCTATTTTTGGTTATTATTAATTGAGCGTACTGTTGCGCTTGCAGATAATTTTTTTGAACTGGTAGAGTGAATTTCTGTTAAATGCTGCTTTGTTGATCAAATAATAAAGTTTATTGGCGAAAAAGGCTCAATAAACTTGCGCTACCTTCACTTTTTAAATCCCAATTCGCGAAAGCTATGTGCTAATAAAGTTAAGAATTTAAAAAGTGGATATCCTCTTAAAGTGAAATTAAAATTTATACTATAATACGAAGTAACAATGATATATATTTTAAAGCCTTTGGGCGTACAGCAATTCAATAGTTATATAAACCTAATCATCTTAGAGAAATTTAAAATAGAACTCAACTAAAGCTGTTTGTCAAAAAATATTCTCCAATTACTTCGCGTCCGATTCGAAAAGAGATATGCCTCGTTGCCTATGAAAGCCTTAATAACCAAAAAGAGTAGATATTCAACAAGAAACAAAAATTCACAATACTTTGTTTTTATTTATTTAGCAAACCCGATAATTATATATTTTTTAAAAACATTCACTGTTATTTGAAAATTGACATTATTAATACCATTAAAAAAAAAGCAAACTTTCAAAGTTAAAAGCGCAAATGCTACTTTTTTGCTATGCAAACGAATATAAGGGCGCCAAAACGAAAAACTTAGACAGCCATTACGAAAAATCAGTCAGACTTTTCAATGAACCATGAGGTAGCACTCTAGCTACTGCGTTCTTTCCTCACAGTTTTAAAATACTGTAACGAATAATGAACTTTTCTTCTGCCCACTACTAAGTGGACTATTGTCTTTTGAATACAATTTATTATTTAATTTGGCAGTACATTAATTTAATTCTGGACCTCGTCTTGTTCAAAAGAACGTAGTCGTTACCTAAAAGTAACTGTAGATCACCAACACGTGCTCTGTATACGCATATAGAAAGCCACCTGGCGGGACATAAAAGTGGCAGCCGTTGTGCAGAGTAAAAACGGTGCCGTTCAAAAAGACTTCAAGTTTTCCAGCAAGCACGTGAAATATCTCGTGGAAAAGTGGTGCTGCTCAGTTTTTGAGTGATGCGTATTAACAAATGACGTTAACATACTATCGTGTTTGTTTTAGAATTCTGACTTTCCTTTGCAGTTTCTGGCGGAAGAACTGCAACTTACGTTAACAAAAACAATATTCAAATGGTGAGCATCACAGTGAAACCCAAAATGCCAGAAGCAAAACGACACGTGTTGAACGCCTGCAGTACTTGACTTTTTTCGGAATCCTTATCAAATATAAAAGAAGCAGAAACACGTACAACCTCTTTAAAAAATTGGTAAGTAGTCAATTAAAGATTAACAATTGAAACGCGTGCACAACCTTCGAGCGATGTGCCGTCTGGAGTTTTGACCAATATCTTTTCTCCTTCGAGGCCAGCCTTCCTCAACTGCTTGCGTTATTGCAGTTCGGCATAAAAGCGAGCAATAAAGTGGCTTCACCTGCTCAACCACAGTGGGGGCCAACTTTTTTGTCGCCCTTCGCCCCATATAGATTGGTGGCGTGTCTGGTACTCGGACGGCTTCTTTTATGATTACGCCTATTATAGCCAATCAGAAATGTTAATGTTGAAATATAGGCCAATCAATTGAAGAATTATTAAACCATGGAAGGAAAAAAAAAACTATAAATAACCGCCGGATTGGCGTTTTTCCATTTTTGCGTATTCGCACTTCCAATACTTTAAAGGCTGGATGGTATTTCGTTTGATGCGTCGTAAAGCAACTAAAAAGATAGCACAAAGATAAGAAGTATATCATACAAACAGCCGCTATAAAGCTTTCATAGTAAAAGTGATAAAGCGGTTTACTAGGAGGCAAGGCGCTGCCACGGAGCGATTCACTTGGTGTGGATTCGTCACTGCTGCTAGAGTCACATGGATAGAAAGTCTCGTCGAGCTAAGCCCGCCCAATCAGAACTGCGGACAGGGCAGTGGAGCGAAAGGCACTAAACCTCGTGCTCGACGGGCTCTGGTGAGCCTGGAGGGGCCTCAATATACTTGTACGCCCGTTTTTTTTTCTGCGCTAGGACTAAAGTGTCTTTTGCCTTAAAGTAAAGAAAAAAAACTTAAAAGATTGGCGTACATGTACTTTTTTTATGTTCGACGTCTTTTTTTAACGCCCAGTCAGCTTTATTTGACAACACTCTTTTAACACGAGCAAAATAAAACTCAGTTAAGTCGCACTTTTTGTCTGGAAACACAATGGGTTTCGTCATATAAAGACAGTTACCTTCATTGGAGTTTCCAGCACCTCTGTGTCAGCTGTGAGCAACGTTAGATATATATATATATATATAAAAACAATAAAGTATACGAAAAAAAACTTACGTTGTAAAACATTCGTGGTAACCGTTACCTTCATTGGGGTTTCCAGCACCTCGGTGTCAGCTGTAAGTAATGTAAAGAAACAAAGATTTCATATAAAAAAGTAAAATATACGGGAAACAAAACTTACATGGCAAAACATTCGCGGAAAAAAGTGAAGCTTCCACGTCCTCCTCGCTATATAACAAAACAGTTGGTTGTATTAATTAACCACCTATGAAGAGCGCTGTAAAGGGTAATTAGGCGCCTCTGCACGCAAGGGTCTAGCCAATAGAAAGAACCCTCCCGGCACGTCGTCTCCAGGGCGGAAAGGGTATAACCACTCACAGCACCTGCAGAGGGCATGAGCATGGGGTGCCGGAAATTTTGCGGAGGGCGAATGCTAATAAACCTTTTTCTTAAAACACAACCTTACAGCCCTAATAAAAATCCCATTGGTTGTTTACTTATACAAAAAGCAACGACTGGCCGAAAATCGGTTGTAGCAAATGGAATGAATGTTAGTTTCAATCCATTTGTAGCTTTGTTATTTATTGATAGTGTTAATTATTTACTACTTTTACTTAATATTTATTATTGTTGGTCATTACTTTTATTTTATTAGGGTTTAGAAGAAGTACACAACATATAAACTAAAATAATATCAACGGAGTAGAATTTTATAACAGACATTAAAAAATGCCCCACCAAAAAGAAACATTTCCGACAGTGAGATCCAATAAATTCTCCAGAGAAGTAAAAAGATCGGAGACGTTTCTTTTTGTGCCGCTTATAGGCAAGGATGATGCCTCAAGCGCAGATTCCGCCTCAACTTTGTCAATCCGAACACCAGAAGCCAAGTCGCTTGGTGTCTTTTAAATACAAAGGAGTTAAAAATACGTAATCTCAATTTATAAGAATCAACTTAGTAGCTATTAATAAGTTGTGGTAAAAGGCAGTCTTGTTATATATATATAATAACTAATAAGTTAAACAACAAAATTAAATTAAATATTTTGAAAAAAACAAGATTAATCTAAAATTTAACAACTTACTAGCAAGTAAAATAAGTAATAAATATAAATGTACAGAATCTTCTATAGATGTAAAAAGATCGGAAACGTTTCTGTTTGAGCCGCTTAAAGGTGAGGGTGGTGCCTCAAGCGCAGCTTCTGTCTCAAGTCCAGCAATCTGGTCACCAGAAGGCAAGTTGTTCTGAATCTTTTATCATAACTAAGTAAAAATCAGTGTGCCTTTTTGGAAAAAGTAATATGAAATATAATTGTTTTGTTATATAAAAAGATATTAAGCAGAAGTAATAAGTACTAAAATAAAAGCAAGACTGATTAAGAAATTTAACAACTACTAGCAAGTTAAAAAACTATAAATATACGAAAACTTTATTAGCTATTTCCGCTAAAGAATGAGAAATCTGTTCACTAAGGAAGTCGCCGAGGAGGAGAAAACATAATTTAGATAAAAAAAAAAAGTAAATAAAAAAAGAAAATTTTGAATTAACAAATAATTAAATATAAAATAAATTGTTTTATTCCTACTAACAATAAGACCATAGAGACTAATATGAATCTATTATATAATCAAATTTAAAATAATATAATAACTGGTTACTCAAATGGCTGTTATAAATCTATTATATAATTAATTTTAAAGTTATATAAAAACCGGGTCTAAACGTTTTAGAAATAATCTGGCCTTTTTTAAAATTAATGCGTTTCTCTATATGAAATTTACTACTTCTCTAAAGTGTAATATAGCGGTTTCATCTATAATAAATAATATAATAGACTTTTATAATAGCCGTTATTGGATTATTTTTTTTAAAGACTAATTCAAAAATAAAATTATAAAATTATTTGAATAGGTTTTATAAATAAGTTGAGCTTTACTAATTATTGATATATATTTTTTTGCGTATTAGGTTTCTAGAGACCAGTCACTCTTACTGTTATTTGGAATAAATTCTTCACAAGGGCGTACAAAGGAAGCAGAAACAGATTGAATTCCTAAAAAAGGTTTAATATTAAATTAATTTTTAAAGATGGCAAGAACTTTATACAAAAAATACGTTGAGCTCGGTCGAAAAATTCTGCCACATCGTCAAAACCGTTTTCATCTTTACTGATGTCTTCTGGGACATATATTCCAGTTTTTCTGTGAGAAATAAAAAAGAAGTTAATATGAAAGTAGAGAAGAATATTACATAAAAGGTTATATAAAGATAATAAATTTACCGTCCATACTTCCCATCGAGACCAAAATATTTTGGTATTGTGCGATTTTTGTGCTAGTATAGAATATTATGTAGACTGTTAGAAGACTATATATGAACTTTTATAAAATTGACGCAAATAAAAACAAAAAGGCTAACCAAGATTTGCCCAAGCATTTATAAAAAAGCCAATACGGACCACTTGCTTCTGTATACGACTAAAATTAACAAGTTAATTTGAAAAGTACTCCATTTTAGTATATACTTTAGCATTGATCACCTCTTACAATTCTATACTATTTTGGTCTATTAAATACTATTTGATACAAAATCTATATATTCTTGGTGCTAATGGAGAAAAGTAGTTGTACCTAGGGCTGACCACATGGGACAGAACACAGTGTATACGTGATTTTAAAACTTTAACCCTATACTATATTTCTCTGTAATAGCTATCAATATATCGTTTTACTTTGTTGAGTTAACAATTATATTAGTTTTTTTAATGTAGACCTTTTTTAAATTACTTAGAAAAACTTTTTAGGCAAATTAGACTAAAAATTCTTTTAAGAGATAAAGATTCCATGCTAACTAAAGAGAAAAAAAAGTTATACATTGCAAGTGATCAGTTCCTCTCACCAAAATTAAAAATTTTAATAGAGAATTTCTTCAGTAATATTGAGAAGTTGACGTTTACTTTATAAAAAGGTTTAAATTATTATAATTGTATGTTTTTTACAATTTATTTAAGTTAATTGAAGAAAGTAGTATCCATAATACCTTACCTTTGACAAGAATCAGGGCCCGGCTAATGTGTTGAAAAACCAACATTATGATTGGTCCTAACTTATTCCAACATCACGATTATCTATAAAAGGTGTCCTTACTTAAGTGTCATGAAATTCAAGTTAAAATCCATTATTTGAACTTGAGACTAATATCCTAAGTTCTTAAGGACCTTTACATTAATAAGCTTGTAAAGATCATGGTTCAGGCTCTCGATAAAAGGCCTTAAGCTATTTTTGTGCAATGCCTAAATTTAGGAGGAAGGTTACATGAAACTTTTGCAGAGCTCAGACCTCAAGTAGCGCACTGAAATAACCCTATGACAGGAATTGCAAGAATGCCACACCTTATACTCCAGATGCAGGCTTTAAAAGTTTTCCCTTATAAAAAAATTTTAGTTCTTGAACCTTTTTTGGAGGAAATTCAACTAGAAGATCTCTATATATCAATGTTCCCATAGATAATCTATGAATCTCTGTGAAGTTCAATAATTAAGTAAAGGAAATGAATTTTTATTTTAGCTACCATTAAACGTTTTGCATGTGAACGCGCAGCAATGCTTTCGCAACAATGTTTTTATATTATTAAATAAACTTTATAGATAGTTACAGGGCCTCTCCATGGAAAATTTTTCATCACCGCTATAGCTACTTTTAATTTAACATACTTTGAAATTCATGTAACTATAAATATAGTCCATATATGAAGTTTTATCAACCCTATACGGAGGATTTTCTGCTTTCTTAACCCTATATTCCTTTTACTGAGCTAAGTTGGACTCCGAATATGAAAATAAGATCTAAGTAATTCTATTTCTTTTATTTTTTTAAATTTGCATCTTAATAAGGGGTTCCATGGATTCGTCTGCAGAGACAATGATAGCGACTCAATTTATATATATATATACAACCTGAGACAGTGCTCATCCCTTGAGTACGTTGAAAAAGCTTACTGCGGGTCTAGACTACTACGTACCCGTCAGGAGCAATATCAATTCTTTTATAAGGACGCCTTAAAAGAGGATACTCCAGTAATTATCTCAAATCATTAATTATAGTCGTCGTCAATGCACTTTTAATTAAACTTGAAAGCGATTTTTCAGACAGTTAATATAAGATTTTTTTTTTTTTAATAGGTCTGAAGATATTTTATTTTCAAAACTACCTAGGCAGCAGCAAACCATATTATCTTCCTTATTGATATTAAGATCGGGAAAAAGTTTACTCATTACAATCCGTGCTGTTTAATCAAGCTTTTCTCAAGTCAATGTATCCATCACAAGAATGATAGGTTAATTTTAGTTTTTTCAAGATAGGAAGACCATAAGATAAGGCTTTAATATAGCCCCTAAGACGCCACATAACATTCTGTTAGTATATTTAGTTGATATATCTTGGGTTTTAAGGTTAGTAAGAGCTCTTTAATATGGTTAGACATTGCAATGTTCTGGTTGATAAAACCTTCCCACCATTGAAGTAATGTAAGTATATCCCGCCGTGTACTGTCAGCGATGTCTCGGAACGATTTAACTAGGCTGCAGTATGTACGACTTAAAGTGCTTTCTGAAGAAGGATTCTAGCTGGTAGAAATTGGTATTTAGTTTTGTTTGATGGCCCACATGTGCAAGTTGTTCGAAATCTCGGGTTTAATTTAAGCCTCTATCATCTTTATGGTTTATTATTTTATTCCTAAAATTTTTGCACGTGTGTTTTATTCTTATATATTATGCTCTGCCTTTAAATTTTTAGAAAAAGACTTATGATCTCCAAGTTTAATGCCGTCTACATAAATACCAAACATACATATTAAAATTTAAAGATTAAAGAACGCGCGTATCAATTATGCTCTATTATCCTTACCTTTTTATCTTAATGATGAATCTATATAAAAAAGTTTTGCAGAATCTGTTCAGCCGTATAAAGCTAAGTTAATTTCCAAAACACTCATTTTTTGTTCTAAAGGTAGTGACCCCTCTTGTAGGTCTCCTTGCTTAGGATGATTAAGTATAATCCTTGGGGAATATGGAAATAGACGGTTTCTGTATTTTTCTGTGCAGGAATGCCGTGGTTATCTGGGCTGAATGTAGAGGGATATAACGAATGTTAGATATCGCAAGCCAAAAAGTTTATCTTAATAGTACAGGAGGAAAAATTACTTGATAATTCCGCTCCAGGGATTCGTTGGTACCCTCTTGCTGTAATTCTGGCTTTCAATGGCTGGTTTGGTCTAATTTGGTGCTTTTAAGTTGTGGTACTACACTTTTCTTCATCGGGCTCGTTCGCCATTTCTATTACTTCGAAACAGTTATGATCCATTAATGAGCTAATTTTTAAAATGCTTCAATTTGTATTTACTTCTAGCCATGGAGTTTATCGCTTCAGTAAAATTTAGAGAGTTGTGGGTCAAAATGCTACAGTGGTCTTTAATTTCTTAAAAGATCACCAGTAAATTATTAAACGGGTCTTTTTGTGGGCTCAATCCTATTAAGCTATTACTTCGTTCGTGGTTATTCTTTATTTCATGGCTTAAGTGACCACTTTAAAGCACAGTATGACCTCATATTCTTTCTGTCATTCTTGTGTATTTTTTATATTTTTATATTGTTGTTATTATCATATAGTTCGATAACATGCTCATGTCCCAATAATGTTCAAAAAATTTTCGTTCCGATCTTTCATATTTATGCTTTAGATATAATTTGGGTTCGTTTTAACATGTCCCTTAAGTTAAAATTAATTGGTGCTAATTTACCTCAAAATAGCTAATACTTTAAAGACAGTGTACTTAATTCGGTGAAGGTAATTTATTTTTTTAATGGTAGGGTTAGTCTAACAATAAAAAAAACTTTTGCACATTTTATATATATCATAAAATATATTTATTTGGTTTTACTGTGAAATATATTTCTTTGTATTTAGTTTTTATATTGAAATACCTAGCAAAAAACTGTCTTTTACCACTAACCTAACATGTGAATGTTAACTTTATATCAATAAAAAATTATTTCTTTTTTACTCATTGGAATTAAGTACACTTGCCTTTAAGTATAATTAAAAGAGGATGAGCTACTTGACTTCTAGTGACAACTATGAATAAATCGAAGCTAAAGCTACGCCTGAACCGTCTTAGTCTTATAAGGGCAGAAAAAACGTCAAAAATGTTTTCTTTTAGTGAAGTACCGTTTTTTTTTCCTCTACATTAAATTGTTTTATATTCAAAATATAACTTTATTGTTCCAAGAATAACCTTCCCACTCTAAAGTTACTGAGTTCCACTTATAACAACGATTCAGAAACTTTTTACTATTTATAAAGTAATATATCTTAATATCTTTTATTATTCAATATAATAAAGAACAATTCTTTAACTAATACAATAAGTCTTACTGCTATTTTGGGTGTAGTTTCCACGAGCAATAAGTGCATTGTCAAAGAAACTTTTAAAAGTTTAATAATTGCCCGCGCCACCTGTATATTTAAAGAACCATTATTTATAACTTTTCTTTTATTATTTCAAATTTAAGTATAACTTTTTAAAAATAAAATTTTTTTCATAATTTTTATGTATATAACGTTTCTTTTGGATATATTATACAACATTTAAAAGAGGGCTAAAAGGGAGGGGAAACGAATAAAAGAATAAGTGTTTAACCCTTTATAGATTATTGGTTATTGTGTTTGCCACTGGTCGCCTAGGTTCAACTTGCAAGAGTAGGTCAATGAAAGTTGACCTAAACGACAGGCTCGGTCTCTGAAAAAGTCTTTGGTATGTCTGAGTACCATGTTCTAACGGATTAGGCAGCAACCAATAAAACATAAAAAAGTAGTAAATTTAGTTACCAGTGAACGTTAAGTTGGGCATGTGTTGCGCGAAAAGTATTTATTCTGGTCGTAAGAAGCTTATTTTTGGTTAGATAGGTAAGTAAACATTTGTTTTACTGTTTTATTGAAACATTAATTGGGATGTATAGAAGCAATTTTGAAAAAATATAATGAACTTTAAAGTATAGTTTCAACATAGGAATTGGTTTCGCAGAAAAAGACACCCCAGAGTTTTGCCCACTAAAGGGTTAATAAGCTAAAAAAGGGAAAGGGATAGAAGTCCAATATCTTCGAGATTTACCCTAAAAAAATAATGTTTTAGCTGTCATAAATTTATTATTTTTGCATTTCTTAATTATCAGAGGTTTACTTAATAAGTTTACGAACTTAAAGATTATCCTACTTACCTTCCTCTATTACTTTAAAGATAAGAATTTATAAAAAAAAAATTATAAAGAGCTATTTTTTAAAAGAGGTTTATTCGGTATTTTTTTAATAGCTTAAAAGAAGAATTAAAGTCCAATACTTAGATTTTTATGCCCTAATAGCATTTAAGAAAATGTGATCAGTAACTTAGTCGACTTTAAATTAGTATCTCGGGCGGAAAAGGTTTGAAAGGATAACTAAGTTATTGAAC